GGATGAGTGGGTGGATGAGTGGATGGGTGGATGGATGGGTGGATGGATGGGTGGGTGGGATAGATAGGATGGATAAATGGATGGATGGATGGATAGGATGGATAAATGGGATGGGTGGGATAGATAGGATGGATAAATGGGATGGATGGATGGATGGGATGGATAGGATGGATAAATGGGATGGATGGGTGGATGGATGGATAGATGGAGAGATGGGATGACATGGGATGTATGGATGGACAAATGGTCTGGAAGTGTTTGCAGATGGGAGTCTGAGGGTAGGGATCGGGAGGAGCTGGACATGTCGCATGGATCTCTGGAGGCCCACACTCCTCCCCGCCAGGTCTAAGTTCCTTGAGCACCCCTCCTCTACGTCCACCTGGCTGGACCCCAAGTTTAAGGAAGTGGCTGATCACTGTGCGCTCCTGCAGGAGCATGCCCAGCGTTGCTACGTCCGAGGTGAGCAGCTGGGCTGGGGCAGGCTTCATGCTGTGTCCCCTGGGGTAGGGACTGTGCCCACTTGTCGTCTCCCTCGCCCCCCCAGGCCTGTTCCGCAGCCTCCAGCAGGCCCAGGCCGTGAGCTCCCAGGACCTTCTGGTAGCTGTGGATGCCTGTGAGGAGCTGCTTCAGGAGGTCGACATCACGCCGTTCCTGCTGGCACTTTGTGGCCATGCTCATGGGCTGCCTCAGGCACCCGGGAGCTGCAGCCTCGAGGACGGCTCTGAGCCCCGTGACAGGGCAGTTCTGGCCTCGGAGTCGAGGTGAGGCCAACCCCCAGCCCCAGCTCAGGGTATTTCGATAATCGTGTCTTGTAGTGGAAAGAGCTCCAGAGTGAATCCCAGCTCAGCTACTTCTACCCATGAGGCCTTGAGAAGGCCACTTCCCTCTCTGGGCCTGTTTCCTCCTCTTGCACAGTGAAAGAATTGGGCTTGCTGACCTAGTCCCTTGTAGCCTTAAGTTCATTGACCTCATGAGCCGGTGACCTCTGCTTTGCATTCAGGACTTTGGGAGTTAGGGAGGGGCCTGAGATGAGGTCCTGCCCTTGGGACTTACTTTGGACTTAGTACCAGGTAGAACGGGCCAAGGATGGGTTAAGCTGGAGCCAGGGTTAGGGTGCGGATCACAAGCCTGCTACTTTAGATGTCATTTGTCAGGGCGTGAAGGGACCGCTGGGGTTGGGGGACGGGGGTTGCTCTGACCACCTGGGCCAGCAAGGCACAAGGGCACTTTGGCCATCAGCCAGAGAATGTCGCCTTCTGGAGGAGAAGCTCTTGGCATATATAGAGAATGAGTTAGTAGGAGTGAAGTCCAGCCTGGGCTGGGAACTAGGAAGAGTCACAGTTTGGATTAGCGGGCCGTAGGCAGCTAGGAAGACCTGGGTTCAAATCCTGCCTCAAAAACTGTGTGATTCTGGGCAAGTCATATAACCTCCCTGGGCCTCACTCTCCTCATCTGTAAAATAGGGATGATAGTAGCACCTATTTCCCAGGGTTGTCATGAAGATGAAATGGGATGCTTTGCAAATCTTAAAGTGTTATCCAAATGCTAGCTATTACTATTGTTATTAGATCGGATACAGTTTCTGTCCTTGAAGAATGGGGAATGGGGAAGGGAGGACACATTTCCTTGTGATAGGAATAAAAGGAATTCCTTGTATTGAGTGATCCGGCTGCTTAGAACCTGCGGGAAGGATGGAGAACCTGCTTGGGGAGGCCTGAGTGGGAACAAGTGATTTCTCAGGGGAGTCAGTGCCAGGCACTGTGCCGATCCCTGGTGACATAAAAAAAGACAAAGGCCGTCCCTGCCCCCCAGGAGCTCCCAGTCTGCCGCAGGCGACGACACGCAGACAGCTCTGTGCAGACAAGATTGATCAGGGCGAATGGGGGGGGCATCAGCAAAGGCTTCCTGTAGAAGGAAGCCGGAGCAGGGCAGCTCGGTGGCGCAGTGGATAGACCACCAGCCCTGCAGTCAAGAGGACCTGAGTTCAAATCTGGCTTCAGATCAAACACTTAACACGTACTAGCTGTGCGACCTTGGGCAAGTCACTTAACACGATATTACTTCACTTAAAAAAAAAAAAAAAAGAAAGAAAGAAAAGAAGGAAGCCAGGGAAGCCAGAGGCAGAGATGAGGAGGAGAGCATCCCAGGTGGGAGGCACAGCCAGGGAAGAGGCCCAGAGCTGGGAAATGCAAGGTCCGTGTGGGGAACAAGCAGGAGGCCTTGTCCCTGGATCGCAGTCTGTGAGTAGAGCAAAGGACCAGAAAGGTAGCACAGGGCGAGGTTACCAAGGCTTGGAATGCCAAACAGTGTTTTATGATTGACCTACGAGAGTTTATTGTGTAGAGAAGTGTCATGGTCGGTCCTGCCCTGGAGGAAAATCCTTTTGGGATCTGAGAGGAGAGTGGTCTGGAGTGGGGAAAGACTCAAGGCTGGCAGACCCCCCCAGCAGCTACTGCAGGGGCCCGGGGGGAGTGATGGGCCCTGCCCCAGAGGAGGGACGGTAGAAATGAGGCACATTGAGAGGCCATGGAAGCAAGAATGACGACTGGGCTGTGAGCCTGGGGGGGCTGGGAGGATGCTGGTGCCCTCGGCAGGATGGGGAGGAGGAGTGCGGTTTGGGACATGTTGAGTTTGAGATATTTGTGGGTCAGTGAGTTCTAGATGTCCAACAGGCAGGTGGAGATGCCAGACTGGATAATTCAATCTGAGAATCATCTGCTTAGAGATGATCATCAAGACCATGGCAGCTGATGAGGGCCTCAAGGAGAACTGTCCAGAGAAAGAAGAGAGATTAAAGGTCATGATGTGGAGGACAGGGCAGCAAAGCAGGCCAAGGAGGACTGGTGAGATAGAGAGGAGGAGAACCGGGAGAGAGGGGCATTCCAGAAACCCAGAGAAGGAGAAGAGGGTTGTGGGCCAGCACACAGGCTTGTGCAGCCTCAGGGCCCCCTCTGCTTAGGGCAGGCAGGGCTGGCCGCTGGCCAAAAGTGGCTGCTTGGTCTGACCTCTTGTCCTTCACTGCAGCGCAGAGGCAGAGGATCCCAACGAGCCCGAAGCCCAGCGCATGCAAGGCCCTGGAGCTCTGGGGCCTGAGCTCCTGCTTTCCGAGGTGTGCCAGCTCTCTGGTGGGGCCCACAGCCAGCTGCACAGCATTATTCAGGTGGGGCCCAGGCCCGGGGCTGGGGCGGGAACAAAGTCAGCTGCCGAGGCCCAGCCCAGGGCCCTCATCCCTGTGTGTCCCCCTCCCCCACAGGAGAAGTTCTTGGAAATCAGTCGCCTGCACTTCCGAGCTGTGCCCTCCAACCCCCACTATTTTTTCTACTGCCCCTCCTCCAGCAAGCGCGAGGTGAGGCCTGCACCCTGCTGTCTGTACTTCCTCCTTGTTTGTCCCACGCTTTCTGCCCTCCCTCCAGCATCCTCACTGAACTCCACGTTCGGTGGCCTTACTCCTCTGCCCCTTCTTTCAGCAGGATGAGAGCGCTCGGGATGCCCTGGACAGGAAAGTCAGTGACCTGGAGCTGTCAGAGGCTGAGCTGATAGGTGATGAAGGTGAGCGCTTGGCGTGGGGGGGTGTGGGCACGGTTTGTGTGTCCTGTCATCTCCTGCCTCAGTCGTAGACAGCCTGCCCCCTGTCCCCAGGAGAAGTGTCCGGGGGCTGCATCGCCACAGAGAGTGACCCCGAGCTAGAGGTGGAATACCGAGACAGCCGGGAGCCTGAGCTGGAGCCTCCAGACTCCACGTCGCTGTCCCCAGATGAGGACTCCTTTAGCGTCCTGGGGGATGATGCTGCCTTTGGCCCTGAGGGCACCGCCCACGATCTGCCCCCTCTCTTCCTGCACCTGACGTGCTCCGTGCGCCTCCGAGGACAGCATGACTCCATGCCTGTGCATACACTGCCCACTTGCTTGGGTGAGCTTCTCCACCACCCTTGTGACCTGTGGCGGTGTCCCTGCCCCCACCAAGGCCTTGAGCCTTCAGGGCCTCCAACCTTTCTCCTCCCTCCCTCTGCAGGTCAGGTCTTGACTTCTCTGGAGAGTCTGCCCCTGGGGAGTCGCCTGGCTTTACAGGACCTTAGCGTTACCCTGGATGTCTACATTCTCACCCTGCCCCTGGAAGTGGAGCTACCTCCAGCCTCAGATCCCCAGCACCACAGGTCAGGCAAGCCTGAGGCTCTGAGGGGCTTCTGGAGCTCCCAGGCTCTCCGTCAGCGCTCATTAGCTCCCTTCTCTCCCAGGTCTGTCTCTGAGAGCAGCACCTCTTTCCCTCGGTCTCCTGGGCGACCTTCTTCCCTGCGCTCCGACGACAGCCTGGGGCCCCCACTACCCCCACCAGAGATAGAGAGGTATGATTCCCAGAGGCTCAGGCCCCCACCCTTTGTCTTCTCTGATCCACGCTGACCCTGGCCTTCTCCCCTATCCAGGCAGCCCGGGCTGTCCAGCCTCCCCTTGCCCCACAGGCAGGCGATTGAGACCACCATGAGTGAGGTAAGACTATTGTGCTGGTCCTGGCTCAGGATCAGAGACCTCAGTGACCCTGAAGGGGACTGGTGAGGCAGGACTCCCGTCTTGCATCCAATCCATGTTCTGCTCCATTACTCGCTGCCTTCCTCCCTGCCCCCCACTCCCATTCTGTCTCCAGATTCGCTGGCTGCTCGAGGATGAGATGGTGGGGGCCCTGCGTCGGGGCAGTGCCCCCAGCGGCTCCTCCCTCCAAAGAGTAGCAGCCCACATACACGCCTCCCCTGGACGCTCGACCTGCCTTCGGCAGACACTGCCTCTCAGCTTTGTCTTTGGGCCAGAACGCTCCCTAGCTCGATTTAAAGAGGTTAGTCAGCAAGCATCTATTAAGCACCTACTGTGTGCTAGCCAGTGTGCACATGCTGAGGGTACAGAGAAGAGCAGAAACAAGTCCCAGGCCTCCTGAAGCTCCCAGGCTAGTGGGGGAGGTGACATGCAGATGCCTCTGGAAAGGCAGGGAGAGGGCACCGGCAGTAAGGGGCCTTGGGGTTCACTCAGGCGAGGAGCAGGGCCACCTCTTCCATGAGATGGAGGCGAAAGAGGCATCTGGGATGGGAAACGAGGAGGACACGATAAGAGGGAGCTCTCTGCAGATGGCCTCAGTTTTCCCATGAAATATGAGGCAGAGTTTTCAGCAGAGAGTAGGGGGAGGGGAAGCCTGAGGAGGGATGCAGAGGTCAGTGGTACTCCCTCCGGGAGCCCAGGCCTCCCCAAGACCCTTGTCTCCCAGCGCCTTTGGGCTTGGCCTTGATGATCCATGTGCTGGAGATGCCCTCCAACCCTGTCCATGGCCTGAACCAGGCCCCTCCCATCTCACCTCTGTCCTACCCAGGAGTTCTGCCGACTTCATCTCCCAGGCCACTCCCTGTGCCAGGACCCCGACAGTGGTTGCTTCTTTGTGTCTGTCAGCCCCAGCCCCTGTGAGGAGCCCCCTACCTCCTGGGCCTGGCTCAGTCGTGAGGACCAAGCAGCACGCTCCAGCCCTGCAGAGGTGAGTGCTGAAGGTCAGTGGGGCCTGGAGCCACCGAGGGCCTTCCTCTGTGATCTTTGTCTCTCTCCCCGCAGGCTCTGCCAACCAGTCCCCAGGTCCCTGAGTCCCCTGATGACATCGAGGGCTCCACGCTGAGTGCATTGTCCAGTGGGACACCACTAGGGTCTCATGGAGCCTGTGATAAGGAAGGTGGGCACCAGCCTCACGCAGGCCCTGTGCCTGTCCCTCCTCTGACACTGCCCTGGCTTCATGCCCCTCCACAGCCTATATTTGTCCCCTACCCTAACTTTGTGGGAGCCATCTTTGCTGGGGTCAGATCGGGTTAGGGGAGAGAACGGTGTGTGTGGGGTCCATGAAGGCCTCACTGCTCCCTCCTCCCTTGTTCAGGGAGCCATCCCAGGCCCAGCCGAGGGCAGAGTGTCGTGTCCAGCCAGGGCAGCATGGACTCTGACCAGCTAGGTGAGCTGAGGATACAGACTCTACCTAAGGGGTGGCGGGAGGATCAGAAAAGCTAGATGATGAGGGGAGGGGGCAGCAAACATGGATGAGCAGGGGGGGAGAGCCCCAAGGGAATCACGGGTTCAGTGAGCCAGGCTCTTGTCTCCTCAGGCTATGACGGAGGCAGCAGTAGTGGCTCAGAAAACGAGGGACCAACAGTGACCCCAGGGGACAACGCTGTCCCCACATTGGAGGAACCTTCAGGCTTCACGCTGTCCCCAGGGCCAGTCCCCCCCCGGCAGCCCCTAGCCACCCTTGCAGCACCGCGGCTGCCCGACTTCTGGCTCCTTGTGCGTGTGATGCAGGATCGAGTGGAGCTTTATGCCCATGCACGGTGAGGGCAGACCTGGGTGATCCCGACTTAGCCCCCCTGAGAACCCAGTGGCTTCTAGTTCTTGTCATTCACCCCCGGCCAGTGCCTATAACCCTCAGTGGGCCCCTGTATCGCCTAATGAAGATTTGTCTTTGACCAGCTCCCCTTACCCTCACCCTCCCCCATTACGTGCCCCTGTGTGATCCCAGGGTGAGTTTCCATACCCTCCCCCCAATGAATGCCCATAACCACTGTGGCTCCCTGTGGCACCCTCTGAGAGTCCCCAGCATCCCAGTGAGGGTGGGCCCTTCCGCTGTTGTTCCAGATGCAGGCCAGAGGTCCCCCACCTCTTCCCCCCTACCCCGGTGCGGGGAGGACCGTCTTGTTCCTGTATAGGCAGTGCTTGTGTGTGTTTCCTTGAATGAATGGATAAGTGTGAGCTCTCTGAGGAAAGGGTCCTTGGTGGTCCCAGAGAGTAAGCACAGATGGAAAGAAGGCCCAGTTTAAATTCAGCTGATTGATTTCCTCGGTGGCTGCCATGTCTTGAAGAGGTCAGCTAGAGGCAGTAGTTAAGGGGCCTCTTGTCCCTTCTGGTCGGTGTAGCCCAGATATGGCCTGTGGGCTTTGCTCCTGACACTCCTCAGCTGACCAGTTGTTCTTAGTGGGCATGACTTTTCTGAGACTATCATGCTTTTGCGTCTAACTCCTGCTAGTGAAGCCTGTCCCTGAGCCGATGGCTCCTTCCCCACATTGGCCAATCTGCCTGGCTCAGTTCACCCTTACCCTGACTGCCTGGGTGTCTGCCCATCCCTTACAGGAGCCTCAGTCGGGATGAGAGTGGACCAGGCGCTGAGTGCCGGCAACTGCAGCAGCTTTTGGCAAAGAAGGTCGGAGAGATCTGCCGAGAGGTCAACCAGGTGAGGGGGGGGTGTGGGGTGTGTGTGTGTGTGTGTGTGTGTGTGTGTGCGCGTGTGTGTGCGTGTGTGTGTGCGCGCGCGCGCATGCTTAGGTGGGTAAGCTTTCCTTTTTGCATGCTCTGAGCACAGACCTCAGAGGTCATCTGGCCCGATCCGTGCCTGACCACAATTCCCTGTGCTTCAGTCATCCCCAGTGACTGGGCTTCCTGCCTTCATTTGTAGGTGTCTCTTAGGGGGATCTTATGAGCTGACTCCAAAGGGCTTTAAACTAGAAAGGAGCCCTGGAAGCCAGGATAGAATCCTTAACCTAAGAGGCACGGAGCATGGGCACTGAGCAAGGTCTTAGCACCAGCAGGCCAGCGAGACCTTCCAGATAGTGCTGAGAAAGAGCGGAGAAGGGCAGGGTCCTAGATTAAAAACCAAACAAACAGATGAGACTGGTGCTTTAACCAGTTGTCCAAGTTATAGAAGGGATGGTCAGTGAACACCCAGGAAGGGAGGCAGTGATCCCAGCTGGCTGGTCTGGCTTCCCAAGAGCAGGCTGTGCCCGGCTGACCAGATCTCTGTTTTTGGACAGGGTCACTCAGGAGAATGCTCTGTGTAGGTCTCGTTTCCCAGCCCATTCAGAGATAGGGATGAAGAGAGCCCAGGCAGGTAGATTTGGGACTGGCAGGAGGGGTCATGTCTGCCTCGTACGGGCTCTGCTAGGGGCAGACTTTCTGTCCAGGACTTGGATCGAGGCAGATGAGCCCCATTGGACTGGCGGGTGTCCACAGGCAGGGAGGAATAGCCAGCAACCCGGACACCAGAGAGAGGAGGGCTCAGAAATCTTGACAGGCTTAAGCCATTAGACCAAGTGCAATGAGATGGAATGCAGTAACCATTTGTTTGGGGTCCTAGGGTCAGACAGGGGAAGACCTGTGTCCCCTGAGGGTCTTCTGGCAGCCTGGGCAAGGGGGATGGCTGTGCTGGCCTCCCCTCTGGTCAGAGCCCTTCCCAAAGGTGTGAAACTCTGGGTGCCAGGGCCAGGAGCCTGTGAGGGAGCTGGGAACGAGAGGCAGGGAGGCATCGTGCGGTCCAAGGACCTCAGAGTCTGTCCTGGCTTAGTCCCGTACCAGCTGTGTGACCTGTGGCAAGTCATGCAGTCGTCTGGGCCCTCAGTTCCTCGATCGTTTAAAAAAAAGAAGGTAGACCTTCCAGTTCAAAATCCAGGACCTGGACAATGGCTAGTCCGGGATGTTGTAAAGGGAATTTCTGTTTGGATCTGGATGAGCTGGGGCACTTTGAAGATCTGGCAAAGGCCCCTGACTTCCCAGTGACCCAGAACACCTCTTTGGCTGACTGGCCGCAAGGCCCTCCTTCTGATTCACTGAACCCTCAGGGACCTTTTAGTTTTCTGACCTCTCACCTTATCTTCTCCAGCGGCTGCTTCTTCAAGACCTCCATGACAGCCATGTCTGTAACTCCCTGCTTGTGGCTGAGAGTGAGGAAGATCTGTGGCGGAGTGAGACCCCCTTTCATCCCCGCCAGCGGACCCTGCTGCCCAGTGATGGTGAGGGCCTGAGGTCCCCCTCCCCCACTAGCAGGCCCTGCTGCCCAGTGATGGTGAGGGCCTGACACCCCATTCCCCTTACCAATGGGTCCTGCTGCCCAGTGGTGCTGAGAATCCAAGCCCAGAAGACAGGTTATGGTGCTGTCCTGGGCATCCAGGGAAGTAGGAGGCTCCACTTGCTCCATGGATGGGCCAGAAGGGGTCTGACTGTGTGTGTTGGGGATGAGCTAGGGGTAACTCTGATCTGAAGTGTTCCCTGTCCGCAGATTATGCAGCTGATGAGAATTGTACCCCCCGCGGCTACCTGGCAGCCACAATGCAGTTTGTGCCCGGCCACTTCTCCTGCAATGTTGTTTGGGGAACTGTGATCCGTGTGCATTCCCGACTCAAGATGGGGCCCAGCATGGGAGTGTCCCGGGGTAAGAGGACCCGGGGCAAGGGAGGTCCCTGGGCAGATGGGCCAGGGTGGGGGGAGGGCTATGGGTCACGAGGTGGGTGGGCCTGGCATGGGGTTGCTTGGGGGGATGTCAATAGGCAGGTGGGGGTGCTGATATCTCAGCCTTGCTCGGCCTTCATTTGTGGGTCCCTGGCTGCCTTACTGAGCCCTGGCTGTCCTGCAGCCATCCAGGCACTTCGTTCTGTGCTCAATGCCTTCTCGGTGGTGAACAGGAAAAACATGTTTGTGTACCAGGAGCAAGCTACTCGAGCCGTCTACTACCTGCGGTAGGAGGAGCAGTGGGGAGCAGGCTGCTGTGGGGGGGCAGGCTGCCGTGGGGGAGCAGGTATAGGGTCTGGGGAACGGCCTTGGCGGGTGTACATACACCTCTGGCCCACTCACCCCCAGTTCCCTTCCCCTTGCAGGCTTCTGGAGACATCATGCAGTGAGAAGCTCCTAGATGGGGATGCTCTGCCCCCCTCCCTGGCTCTCTCCAGGAGCCAGGAACCCATCTGTCCTGAGGAGGCCTCGGCAAGTCACTGCCTCCCCACTGCTCCATAGCATTACTGGTCATTGTGGCTTGTCTGAGAATTTGAGCTTTGGAGCCAGGCAAATGTGGGCTAAAATCTCCTGTATCTGACTCACAGGGCTTTGTGACCCTGGGCAAATCATTTAACCACTTTGAGTCTCACTTTTGTCATCTGTAAGATGGGATAATAATGGTGCCATGGAAAGAGTGCTGGATTTGAAATCAGAGGGCCTGGGTTCAAATCCTGACTCTGCCACTTACTCCCTGTATAAGCTTGGACAAGATGCTCCCTGGCCCCTGAGATAACACCCTCTGCTGAGGACACTGGGGCTGCTGGGCAGGATGTTTAAGCCCTAGGGCCACACCACCATCTTTCTGATCCATCGCTGATTACCCTCAGCCTCCCCGCTCTTCAGTTCCATAGTTTAATCCAGGCCCTTTGCCTGCTGTGTCCCGCTCCCGTGCCCTCTTCCCCCTCTGATTCTCCTGTTCTCTCCTCGCACAGGGCCCTCGATCCCCATTGGAAGTGGCCTCCAGCCGGAGCTCTGAGACAGCCCGCCCTGTGGGCCAGGTTGACCGACACATTCAACTCCTAGTGCATGGTGTGGGACAGGCAGGTGAGACCTACGGATTGGTCAGGGGCAGCCTTCAGTGCTAGGGACCAAGTTAGAAAAGACAGGCCCCTAGGAACCTGTCCAGGGGGTGGCAGTCGTGTGCATTTGTTTGGCCTCAAGCAAAGATTGCTCAGGAGAGCATAGTAGCTGTGTTCAGTATCTGCAGGGCTGTCCTGGGGACAGAAGACAGACGCAGGACCAGTGGAGGCTGGGCTGGGCGGGTGTGGGAAGCTGCAGGAAAGGCATGCCTGGCTCTGGGTGAAGAAGGTTCTGATCACATGCATTGTCTGAGGTCTGTGAGCGCCTTGCCATAGGAGCATTTAAGGTTAGGCCAAACCTTCTAGGCTTGCATCTGTGCTTCTGAGAGTGGAGCTGGGCAGGGAGTGCCTCCCCCAGCCTGCGTACCAGCCCTACCCCTTGCCCACCTCTCTGCGCCATCTCTGAGACCCAGGCCACACCCTGGAGCCCATTCTCCCTCCTCCCTCAAGGAGGTCCCAAGCCTCCTCTCCACCTCCTGGCCTCTTCCACGTTCTGTCCCGTATGCACACTGAGGGCCGGCAGCAGCCCCTCGCCCGCAGCTCGTCTGCCTCCATCAGCACTGACCCAGCTCAGGCCACCAGTCCCATTCCTGAAAGCAGCCGGCCCTAGCCCCCAGCCAGCTCTGCTTGTGCCTTGAGCACACTTTATATCTTACATAGCCTTACAACCCGGAGAGGCAGGGGATGTCATTACCCACAGTGAGGAAACCGAAGCTCAGAAAGGTTAAGTGATTTTCCCAAGGTCACACAGCCAGGAAGAGCCGCTGGAGGCATCCGAGCCCGCATCTTTCCTTCCCGTTGGCAGGCCCCGTGCTTGATCTGCCACACAACAGGCTGTGCCCCTTGAGCCTGCTGCTAAAATATTCCCCCAGGGACATAGGCCTGACTGTGTGATCCCACCTGATCAAGAATCAACAGTGGCTCCCTAGTGCTTCTAAGACAAAACAAATTCCTTAACCTGGCCTTTAAGGGCTCCTTCTCTGTGTTAAAACTTTGAGCTCCCTTGTCAGGGTGCAGACTCCAAACAAAAGCCCATCCCCGCTACCCTTCAGGGAGCTCGTGTTCTCCTGGGGGAACCACCTCAGCATCCAGAGGTAGACGTGGAAGCTTAGACGTCTTCTAGTCTCACCCTGCCCTGATCTAAGAGGAGACGGGAGGACGAGGTCCAGGGCCCACACAGAGGGCTCAGGTCCATTGGAGGAAGGGGCCCTGGACGAACTAAGCTCAGCCTGCTTTTTCTAACCTTGGCTTTTTTTTTAGTTTACCCTGATGGTGTGAGTGTGTGTCATGGGCCCTGGCTGTAGGGTTTTTGTGTGCCCGCAGGCCCTGAGATCACAGAGGAGCTGGTCCGCGCCCTGCGGCGGCGCCTGGATGAAGCCACATTGGATATCATCACCGTCATGCTCGTGCGCAACTGCAAACTCACGCCTGCTGACGTCGAGGTAACAGGCTGCGGGCCCTTTCTGGTGCTCCCAGGCTTTCTCATCCTTGCCCCAGCCTCACCCCAGCTCTGCTCTCTCAGTTCATCCAGCCCCCGGGAAGCCCTCCCTCAGAGGTACTACACCTGGTGCTGCCGCCCGCCTGTCGGCCGTGGCTCCCAGCCCTGGCCTGGTACCTGCGGCAGAACCTGCTTATCTTCCTGCACTCGCCAAAGTATACAGACAGCAACAGTCGCCACCACTTCCAGGTAAGGGGACGGCTGTCTGCTTGGCAGACTGCTGTTATGTGCTCAGCGGGAGCCCCTCCCCTCTCCCATGTCCCTGTAGTGGAGTGGCCCACTTCTGCCCGGGAAACCACCTCCTGGCCCCTTCCACACTGGGACAGCTCTCACGGCCAAAGTCCTGATATCCTGCCTCCTTTGGCCTTTTGGCAACTAATACCACCTCACATGGGTGCCTTCCTGTACTAGAAGATAATGCTCACCCCCCTAGACAGTCTTCCCTCCGATCAACATGCCTCATTTTCTCTTGTGTCACGCACTGAAGGCCCTTCCCCGTCCTGCTCGCCCTCCTCTGGCCCCTCTCCAGCTTATCAGTATCCTTCCTAATCTGTGGAGCCCAGAACTGACCACTGGGCTCCAGGTGGTATCTGACCAGGGCCTAGGGCAGTGGGACAGGCTCCCTTCTATTTTGGAAACTTAGCCCCTCTCCAGGCAGCCCCAGATCTCATCACCCTGCCGACTTCAGCTGAGCTTGCAGTCCACCAAAGCCACTATGTCTTTTTTCAAACCACTGTTCTCTGACTATGCCCTCTTCACCATACTGGACTTTTTTGATACCAAGTGTAAGACTTGACATATGTATCTTTTATCTTTTTATGTAATATTTTATTTTCCTTAACTACTTAGAAAAACAATTTTTAACGTTCATTTCTTAAAACTTTGAGTTCCAAGTTCCCGCCCCCTCCCCCCTACACATTGATGAGGCAAGCAATTTGTTATAGGTTACACATCAGCACATACTTCTGATGAACTTTATCTAATGAGATTTAGGCCGATGCTCTCTAGCCTGTCGAGATCCTTTTGGATTCTGACTCTGTCATCTCCTGTGTTCACTCTGTGTCACCTGCAAATCTGATGTGACTGCCACGAGTGCCTTTATCCAGGTCATTGATGAAAGTGAGGAACAGCTACCTGACTGCTTTTGAATCTGTCTGATTCTAGTCTTGTCCAATCCCCGTCTCTCCATCTTCTCCACAAGCACCGCCTCTAGCATCCACTGCTTGGCTACGTGTCGGAGTAAATGACAGCCACGGCCTTCCCTCATCTCCTTGTTGAGTGATCCCGTCCCAGAAGATGAGCTCAGGCTGGCAGGGCATGTCCTTGATGGAACCAGGCTGGCGCTCGGGGGTTCTCCCATTTCGGGGTTCAGCCGCCTCTCAGAGCCACAAGCACACCTGTGAGATTTTGGGACCCAGGATGGTGTCCATCTGGCCAGCTGATGCGAGTTCACCCAGGGTAGCTGGGCGCTTTCCTACCATCTCCTTGCTTACTTTGGGCAGCAGCTCCCTCTTGGCCCTTTTCATTCTGTCTTTGCTAGTGCACGGTGCCTTCTTTGGTGCCAGCCGTCACTGTCCCACCCACCCTAAGCAAAGGTCTTCACCCCTGGATCCTCCTCTTTCCCCAGCGTGGCCTAAACAAAGGAACTTTTTTCCTTGTCCTTGGCTTCTTCCCTCCCCAGCCTCAGCTCACTGCAGGCTTTGGCCTTTCTCCACACACTGTTTTTACAGGACTGTGATGGGCCCTGTAGACATCCTCTGTGGCCTGGCCTTGCTTCCGTCTTCTGTACGTTTCTTTTAAAAATCTAACTTGGCTGGTGAGTTCTCTGTGCATCTACATAGAGATGTACACATACATCTACATCTCTATGCATCTCTTCAAACAATTCTTAGTTTTCCTCCTCTTTGGAATTGTTTTTCTGTGTGTCTTCAGACTGTCTTTCTTCAGCATTTTCCTTCCTTCCTGGGCTAGCCTTCCCTAAAGCATTTGCCTCCATGGCCTCCTCCCCATCTTTCCTCCCAACCTTGAAGTCTGCTTTCCCCAGCTTTGGGCACATGTCAGACTGTTCTGTCAGACTCTCGGAGGGAGCGGTCCCTTCCTCTCAGGGCTCCCACCATTTCTATTAACTCTTCTCTGTTAGAGAGAATAATCTTCTTCACCTTTCAAAGGCTAAATCATCACTAAGGCAAGTCAGGAAACTCTGTTCTGCCCTGCACTTGTCAGGGAGCACGCCCCAGTGAATGTCTGGACATGAGTCCCCGGTCACTGTCTGTCGTGCTCTTGGTCAGGCTTGGGATCTGTGTCCTCCTCCTGGCAAGGCGGTGTGTATGTCTCTCTCCCCTCTTCCCTGTGTGCTCCCAGCTATTTGTTTGCTTTGTCCCTCTCCCTAGCGCATCCATGAGTTAGGCAATTAGTGTGAGCCAGGCAGGGTGCTGAGAACGTGGGGTGCAGATGCAATCACACCAGACACGCCTTCTCATCAAGGAGCTGCCATTCTCATGGAGAGACTACCCCTCTGGGAGCTGCAGGGGCAGGATGATTTGGCAGTGGCTGTGGGCAAGGGGAGGCAGAGGTCTACGCCAGCTAGGCCTCTGCCCCGCTGCCCCTCTGGTGTGTCCTCCACCTCTCTTGAGTTGGAGGGATATCTTTGCATTGGGCAAACACCCCTGGCTAGAGGGACTTAGAACCTGCCTTCCCAGGGTCAGCTTGACCTCATCTTGAGCTTTGTTCTTTCCCAGCACCCTTTTCATCCTCCTAGTGGCCTTCCTGACTCTGATATTTATCTCTACAACAAGCCTGGTGGCCAAGGCACTGGGGGAAAAGGTACCTACTCTCAGATGGCAGCCTTGGGGAGCTGGAGCGGGATGGCTGGGCTGGAGAGGGTCTCTGAAGTTGGATGAGGGATAGTGGGGCAGGGCATTTCTTGGACACCATGCCTACTTAAATCTTTTGGTGTAGGGGTTGCCTGCATTGCACTGTCCTTCATGGATGAGGGGGGAGCCCCCATCTCACTGGGGCTCTGGCCCCCTGCTTCCCCGGGCCCGTTGGACCTGCTGCAGGAGACTGAGTTTGAGAGTCTTACCAGGGTCACCTGCTGCCCGACCCCACCCAACAGTGCTGCCGCAGGTAGGCCCAAAGAGGGCTAGTGGGAGGGTCACGGGGCAGGGAGCACTTGGCTTCAGCTGATGACCCCAATTTTCCCTCCACCCAGGTCAGGGCCAGGACCTGCAGCTGCGGCTGGATATATGGGAGAAGGGGAACATCAGTCGCCTACAGCTGGAAGAGAAATTGCGTGGAGCTGCCCGACACGCGCTGGCTGATGCTGTTATGGAGCTCCGGCTGCTGCCAGCCTCCCTGTGTGTAGAAGAGACCCTGCCAGGTATGCACCTGCCCTGGGACCTGCCCTGGCCCAGCCCAGGGGCAGGAACCTGAAGGCTGTCATGTCTGGTGTCCCCAGGGAGCCCATGGAGTGTTTCACTGGAGGCCAAGAGTCCAGGGGACCCAGCCAGCACCTCCCCTCTCCCCTTCCCACCAACCCCAAGCCCAGGAGAGCCCGTCACTCCCCCAAGCAAAATGGGCCGGCGCAGCTTCTGGGATATGCTGGTAAGGGCAAGGGAAGGTGGAGGGGAGAAGCTGGCATCTCTCCTCTTCGTCCCTTCAGCATCCTCTCTCCCATCTTGCTTCATCTCTGTAAATGGGCCCGCTTAGCTTCATGGGCAAGGAAGAGGGAGAGGAAGGATCTTTTGCCCCACCACCCCTCCTACTTTTCTCCTCTCATAACTGTTATTCCCTTTAGAGTAAAGCTGAATGTGGGGACCTTGGTTCCCCAAAGACAACAGATGACATTGTACTGGAAAGGTCAGAAGAGACCCGGGGACGGAGGCGTCACAAGACCGAGAGTGTCCGGCCCCCAGGGGGCCCAGAGCGGACACCAGCCACAGAGCTGAGTGCCCAGGGTCACAGGTGTGTGGAGGAGATGGGGAGCCTGGAGTCAGCAAGTCCCAAGGCCCCACTTAGTGATTCCCAAAGTCCAGTGCTCATCCCCTGGGAGTTATCCCCACACCTCCACCCTGGGGCCATCCTTAGAGTTATGGCAATACGGTGCCATAAGCATGCATTTAACACAAACTGTGGGCCAGGCCTGGGGTTGCCTTGGCCCATGGAAAGTGTCCCTGCCCTCCAGCAGCCAGTGTTGGACTAGCAGTGCACGGCTAAGAGAAGGCAGTATGATGTAGTCTGTGTAGAGAGTGTGCTTCAAGCGGGGAAACTCCTCTGCTGAGGAGGCTGGAGGTGAGAGGAAGGGCTTCCTGACCTGGAGGGCAGCCAGGGCAAGGGCTGGCATCCTGAGCACCGGGAAGAAATAGGATGCCAGAGACACCAATTTCACGAGAAGCCAAGAGAGCCCTGAAGAAACAGAGATGGCAAGATGCCTGTGTCTTAGACCCAGAGGAGGTTCATGGTGGAAGTGGTGCCATTTTGACGGCATTTAAGTGTTTTCAAGATACTGGAAAGAGGATAGGGTTCCAAATAGTTGAAAAACATCATGGTCCTTTATATTACCCCCTAAAAAACCAACCAAACAAAAGTAACTCAGAAAATATCTGCAGCTACTGACCCACATGACTACTTTCTCCTTTCTATAACCTCCCTGAGAAGGCTCTTCACACATGTTGGGGGCAGCCTTGATGAACATGAAAAGAAAACAGGCAGGCTGTCAAGAGCAGCAGACCACAGCTTTACAGTTAGTTCCCCCTTGATGGAGAATTTGACTGCAAACAAGCGTCTGCCTTTGCAGAGCATCAGGCCCTCCCCTGCAGAGCATCTGCAGTTGTAGGTCAGAGCTTGTCAAGGGTCTGTGAAAGGTGTGAGAGGAAAGACCGTGTTGTGTGACCCTCAGGCTGTGGACATCATGTAAGGCATTAAGGTAACAGACGGTTGCCAACCAGTGGTGGTTACCCCTTGTCCCACCCAGACTCAGGGTGAGCGTTGGTGGCTTTGTGTCCCCTACCTGGCATGGTCTACCACAGGCCACGAGCATAACTCCACTGTCCCCTGTGGAAAAACCCTGTGGGCAGAGAGCACCCGGGGTGTCCAACTCTGATAGAAATGGGAGCCATGCATCTCTACAGAGGGTTCCCTGTGGTCTCTGTATTGACCTAGCTTTTAAAATATAAAGCTATCTATGTTTCATTGTATTCTTACTTGTTGGGCCACATGCAGCCCACAGTCCACGTGTTTGATACCTCTGGTCTAGACCTTACGTTGTAGTCTGGTGGACAACCCTGCAAGTCACCCGTCAGCTCATGAGTGTGTCTGGGATGGACACTGTGACTGAGCCCATAAGTGAACAGATGGTAGAGGCTGGGGGCCGGCTGGGTGACCTGGGAGCGTGTACAGTTTTATGATAGATATCCCACTAGAAATGTTCTATGGCTGCGAGTCATGAGAAGCCATGATCTCCAATGGATCAAAGTTTGGGGTTCCCCGAGGCACTGGGCAGGTACATGGTGGGATCCCACAGTGAACAGCAATCTGGACGAAGGCCTCAGTGTGCTGGGTAGATTAGGCGTGGATGGATGGGGAGAGTCCAGTTCCTGAAGTCTTGGGTTGGCTGGACACCCCTGTGCTTTCTCTGAAGCCGCTGCTGCTCACTGCCAGCTGTTGTGCCCATCACACCAGCCTCCATGGGTTCCTCTGGAGCTTCTTTCCAGCAGGCTTCCCTAGTCACAGATGCCAGCCTTCCAGGTTCACATTCTGCCACTGAGCATGGGCACCACCAGTCAGTGGGGATGGTTTCGCTATGAGCTCTGCCCTTCCACCTTGAGAGCGCCCCACTGGTCACCATTTACAGGCCACTTCAAGTACCTTCCCCTCCCCCTCCCTGAGAGAGGGAGAGAGAGAGAGAATTAAGGAGTTTGCCCGCTATTGAGGGCAAAAAGGAAAGACAGTTTCTGGGCATGGTAGGATGATGGAGTGCAAAGGCCCAGGAGCCCCCTCTGAAAGTCCTCTTGGTGTGCAGTAAGGGATTGACTGAGCAGAGCCCTGTTCTCTTCTTCCCCAAGATAAGGGGCTTGGTTAATGTGGTGAATGAGGCAGGTGGTCACTCCAGGTCCTTGGGGACCATCAAACCCATTGGCGTGGACATCAGCCAGGCCCTGCTGCTGCTGGGCTCACAGCTGCTTCTCCTCTCCAGGCGCAGGGCTGCACAGCTGGAAGAAGGGGAGGTCGGTGTCCTCCATCCAGGTTTTGCACGAGTGGGTCAGCGCTGGATGGAGTTCATGGTCCAGATCGGTGAGGACATTGAGGCTGTCTCTGGTGCTGCTTCATCCCCCGCTCCCAGACCTGGCAGTGATCCATGGTTCACTCTGTTCTTGTACCTGCCGTACCCATCGTCGATGGGCTGCCATCGTCTGCCCCCGCTCTGCTGCCCCCACTGACGGTGCTCTCCTTTCCCTTCCCCGATCTGCCCTCCTCAGGTTGTCCCTCTGTCTCTGGAAGCTCTACCCACATGGTTTCCCGGTTCCTTCTTCCCTCTGTTCTTACTGAGACCATTTCACTTGTGGCCTCATTGGCGGGAGACACCAGTGTCCGCATGTTTGAGCAGCAGCCGTGAGTGGGGGCTCCATCCCATCAGTGGGAATCCATGGGGGGGGGGGCAGAAAGGAAGGAAAGAGACGGGCAGCTGCTTATTGAGCACCTGCTATCCTCCAGCCCCTGTGCTAAGGGCTTTTTACAAATATCACCTTATTTGATGTGGGAGGTAGGTGCTGTTAGTTTCCCCATTTTACAGGTGAGGAAACTGAGGCAGCCAGCAGTTAAGTGATGGCCTAGTGACACAGCCAGTAAGAGGGTGAAGCTGGATTTGAGCCCAGGGCTCTCTTTATTGTGCCACCGTGACATCTCTGCCCAGCGAGAGGGGGGTCCTGGGGTCCTGTCGTGTTGTTCAGCCACCCTCAGAACTGCTTGAGAGCTGAGCCAGAACTGCCTTATGTCCTTCCTTGTGACTCTCTAGGGGTCCAGACTCTGTAATCTTCACCCCTTGCTCCACTGCCCAGCTGCACCCCCCACCCCGCCCTGGAGCTGAGCGCCATCTGTTGCTTTTGGGACGGAACTTCTCCCAGTGGCGGAGACCGACCCAACAGGGTGAGTGTTGGGTGGATGCTGATGGGCTGGGGGACAGTGAGGTGAGGACAGACCCTGCTGGGAGAGGAAAGGGCTGGTGCTTGTAAGAAATGGGCTGAGCATTGCTGGGGGCACAGAGCCAGCACAGTCGGCGGGGGCTAGGGGACACAGTCAGCGGAGGAAAGGTGAGGATGGGATGAACGCTGATGGAGGCGATGGGCGCCTCTGTAAGTGAAGTACAGAGCCAGCAGAGCAGGGCGCTTGGCTTCTAGGGCCAGGCTGCCTCACACCCTAACACTGCCCTTTCCCCTAGCTCCCAAGGCCATGCAGCGCTTTGAGCCAGGAGTGGAAGGCTCTGGTCGGGATGCCCCCCGACAGCGGCTCCTCCTCCTCCGGGTTATGGACACCAAGGTAAAGGCTGGCAAGGGGTCCCAGCTAAGGAGAGGCCACGAGGAGCTCGACCCCACTGACCTGTGCCTCCCCCCGACCTGTGCTTCCAGCTGCAGCTGCTGACCTATAACTGGGCCCCAGACCTCGGCGGGGCCCTCAGCCGTGCCCTGGGCCGCCTCTTACAGTGGCAGAATGCTCGGGCCCACCTCGTCCACTGCCTTCTCAGCCAGAAGCTTGGTCTTTTCCACCACTACGGTCACCTAGACTGCCCTGGGCATGATGACAAGGTGACCCACTCCACTCCCTCTTACGCGTGCTCTCAAACCCTGGACAGCTGGGGGGCAGGGACTAGGAGGGGATGTCTGGCTTCTAAGTCCAGCTTCTTCCAGGAACCAAATCCGTTCCTGACCCCATCTCTGGAGGCTGAGACCCTCATCCGGAGCCCCGGCCCCCCACCAAGCCGGGAACAGGGACGACTGAGTGGTTCCTCCCGGGGGGGGGCAGGCCTGGCCCCTGAAACGATGCCCTTTGATGAGGCCTTGAGGGATATTGCTGCTGCCCGGCCCGGCCCAGCCCCCCGTCCCCCTGACCCCGTCACTTACCACGGACAGCAGTTCCTGGAGATCAAGACTGCAGAACGAAGAGGTGGGGGCTATGTCTGGGGTTTGAGGGAACTGGGGGAGGCCAGGAGCTAATAGAGCTGGACAGACACCAGGGGCTGGGGGTCAAGGAAGCCGGGAGGGCCAGGACTGGAGAGAACCTGGGAGGGTCAAGACTGAGAACCAGGGGCCTGGGCTGGGGGAGGGCCAAGACTGAGCTCAAGCAACGAGCCACCGATGTGGGCACGGATGATGCTGCCAGAGGAATCTGGAGAGTGTTACCTGAGATGATGAAGTTTTTCTTCACATCCCCAGTCCTTAGCACAGGCCCTGCCACTGAGAAAGCACTCATTCCACAGAGAGCATTAGGGCCAGCTCACCCCTGCAGCCAGGCCAAAGCCAGGGATTCCTTCGGAAGGAGGGGACGAAGTGATGAGTGAGCAGTCAGCTGAGTCGATGGTGTCTGAGAATGGGAGTGGGCTTTCTGGACCAAGCCTCGAGGTCCAAGGAGGGAAAGCCCCTGATCAGGGCTCGTAAATGCATTTGCCCTCTGAGGAGAGGGGCTTGGAAGGACGGAGTAGGCAGAAAGTGGCCTATGCCTGTGTACAGGGGAGTCTGGCATTGGTGGCCAGTGAGCTGGGCTGTACGTACCACAGCACCCCTGACAGAGGTAGTGTTGCTCAGGAAATGGCAATGGAAAGAGATGGTGAAATGGGGGGAACAGAGGAGAACAGGAGAACCCAATGACCCCTGCCACCTAAAAGCACAGAGGGGGGTGAGTGACGAGGCCTGGCGCAGGCCTCCACTGGCCCAGCTGCTGGTGATGGAGATGTGGCTGTGATGTCCAAGGTCAGAAGGTATCATAACACTTTAGAAAGAGACACAGCAGCCGCAGCAGCAACAGAATCCAAGAAAAGGGAACTGGAGCCATGGCGCCTGGTGTCTGTACAGAGCTGCCAGAAGAGTGGGCAGCAACAAGGCCAGGAGGCCGGATGACCTCCTCGGAGTCTTCCTGGATTTCAGGGCCCTGGGGTGGCCAGGACGCAACTCTGGGTAAATGGTAGCACCTGCTGGCCTGGGTGGGAATGGAAGAGATGGGAGGGCTGCGGGGCGTGGGCAGGAAGGAAGCCTGTAGCCAGCTTGGTCAGCTCAGTAGACAGTGGTGCGCCTGGACAGACAGGGAGCCAATGTGGAACCCGGCTCACGTTTGTGGTACCTTCACTTACTTGGACATCTGCTGACCCTTTCTGGTAAAATACTGACAATTGTGAGCAGCCTACTATCTCATCCAAGCCTTGCAATGGCTGGAGACCTGATATGGGCCCATTCTACAGATGAGGCAAAGTGACCTGCCTGTGGCTTTATCATAAGTATCAGAGGCAGAACTCGAACCCTGGCCTTCCTTGGTGCCCTCAGTCTCAACACATAGAGCGACCAAAGATAGGAAATTCTGTTCTGGATCTGGTTCTCAGCAGCAGGGGGAGCTAGCTATCAGGGTTGAAATGATGGGAACCCTGGGCAGATGTGACCAGTTCTGTCTTAGAATTTGTAGCAGTGGTGAGCAAAGCCACTTCTGGCCAGGGAGAGCGCATGGACCTGAAGGCAGCAAGATGACCTCAAATCCTGCTGCAGGCACCTGGGTCAGACCATGACCTCTGAGCCTCAGTTTCCTCATTTGTAAAATGAGGGTTATGAGAACCTATCTCCCAGGGTTGTTAGAACCAGGGGAGAAAATGTGAGTAAAGCACCTTGCAAACCTTAGGGCTGTAGAAATGCGAGCTCTTCTATCATTGTTCCTGTGAGAGAGCAGAGGTCGTAGGAAGGAAAGGTAGCACTTCAAGAACCAGAGCTCTCCAAGGGAAGTGAACCTGAGAAATGAAAATCAGACTCTGAGGATACAGAGGAAAATGTTTCCAGGGAGGAAGGAAGAAGCAGAATTGTGTAAGGAGGCTTATGTCAGTGTATCGCTGGTATTAATCTGACTGCCAGTGAAATGCTGCTCATGGGGCAGGTGAGGCAGCAGGGTGTCACTGACCACTGACCATGAGAGAGCAGCCCCGGACCCTGAGCCCACAGAGTTTACAGTGCTGCCCAGTGCTGGGGATGCAGAGACAGCCTCACAGCAGGTCATACCTTCAAGGATGTTCTTTCCGGGGAGACAGATGGGTCTACAGAGGTATACGCTGAATATGTACAAATGGCTGAGGGACCCAGGCAGGGCCTCCAGCAGAACGTGTTGGAGCTGCGCCTTGAGGGAAACCCTGAGGATGCCGGAAGGTGAAGCTGAGGAGGGGTGGCATTCTAGGCATGAGGGACAGCTGGCGCAGAGTGTTGGCAATAGGAGGTGGAGTACTCTGAATGGGGAGCACAGTTAAAAGGCCAGATGGGCTGGATCATAGTGTGTGTAAAGAGATTAAAATTCAATAAAGCTGGAAAGGTAGTTGGGGCTGGGTTGTGAAGGGCTTTGAATGCCAAACGGAGGAGTTTGTATTTGATCCTAGAGGCAGTAGGGTGCCACCTGAGTCTATCGAGTTGGGGGCTGGCATGACCAGATCTTCTTTTAGGAAAATCACTGGCAGTTTTGTGGCACAGATTTGAATGGAGAGACGCTTGAGCCAGGGAGACCAGATTGGATGTCATGACAGTGGTCCATGTGAGAAGTGATGGGGGTTCGGGAAGTGGCTATGTGGGCAGATGCTGTGGAGATAAAAACAGCCAGACGTGGCAACAAATGGGCTGTATGGGATGAGTGAGAGTGAGGAGTAAGGGATGTCACCAAGCTTGTCAACCAGAGTATCAAGCTAACTAAGGAGATCACAAGAAAGCACCTCAGTCAGTTACTGATCTCGAGCCAGACATCCTGGAGAGTGAAGTCAAGTGGGCCTTAGGCAGCGTTGCCAGCAGTAAAGCTAGTGGAGGGGATGGAATTCCAACTGAGCTATTTAAAATCCTAAAAGATGATGCTGGTGAAGTGCTGCACTCTCAGCAGTGGCCACTGGACTGGAAAAGATCAGTTCATGTCCCAGTCCTAAAGAAGGGCAATGCCAAGGAATGTTCACATTACCAAACCGTTGTGCTCATGTCACACAGCAGCAAGGTTATGCTTAAGATTCTGCATGCCGGGCTTCAGCAATATGTGAACTGAGAATTACCAGAAGAGGAGGCAGAGGAAGTAGAGACCAAATTGCCAATTTTTCCCTAATCCAAGGGAGAAAGCAAGGGAGTTCCAGAAAAACGTCTGCTTCTGCTTCATTGACTACGCTAAAGTTGCTGACAGTGTGGATCACAGCACAATGTGGCAAGTCCTCAGAGAGATGGGAGTACCAGATCACCTCACTTGTCTTTCGAGGAACCTGTATGTGGGCCAAGAAGCAGCAGTTAGAATCGAACATTGAACAACTGATTGGTTTAAGACTGGGAAAGAAGCTTGACAAGGCTGTGTATCTTCACCTCATTTATGTAACTTATATGCAGAATACAGCACGCAAAGTGCCAGGCTGGATGAGTCAAAAGCTGGAATTGAGGTTGCTAGGAGAAATATCAACAATCTCAGACATGCAAATGAAACCACTCTGATGACCGACAGTGAAGAGGAATTAAGAAGCCTCTTGATGAGGGTGAAAGAAGAGAGTGTAGAAGCTGGCATGAAGCTTAACGTTTTAAAAAAAAAGCTAAGATCTTGGCAGCTGGTCCCATCACTTCCTGGCACATACAGGGAGAAGAAATGGAAGCAATGTCAGATTTTATATTTTTGGGCTCAAAGATCACAGCAAATGCAGCCATGAAATTAAAAGAAGCTTGCCCCCTGGAAGGAAAGCTGTGGCAAATCTGAACAGTATACTGAAAAGCAGAGACATCACCTTACTAACTAAGGTCAGTATAGTAAAGCTATAGATTTTCCAATAGCAATGTGTAGCTAAAAGAGTTGGACTGTAAGGAAAGCTGAGCACTGCAGAATTGACACTTTTGAATTGTGGTTCTGGAGAAGACTTTTGAGAGTCCCTTGAACAGCAGAGAGATCAAATCAGTCAATACAGAAATTAATTCAGGCTGTTCACTGGAAGCTGAAATACTGATGCTGAAATTTAACTACTTTGGCCACATAATGAGAAGACAGGACTCATTGGGAAAGACACTGATGTTGGGAAAGATTGAAGGCAAAAGGAAAAGGGGATGGCAGAAGATGAGATGGCTAGATAGTGTCGTGGAAGCAATGAGCATGAGGTTGAACGCACTTTGGGTGATAATGGAGGATAGAAGAGCCTGGTGCTGTAGTAAACGGAGTCACTAAGAGTCGTACACCACTGAACGAATGAATAACAGCAAAAGGAAGCACCTTGCTGCCCTCATTCGAGTTCAAGTCCGTCCCCTAAGCCAGACGAATGCTGTCCTAAATTCTGAGAAATGGAAGATATGGCTGTTGAGCCCACAGTGGTCTCTAGAAGATCATTGAGATTGAGTGAGGCCCTCTGAGACAAACGTTGTCCCAGTTTTCAAGGAAGGGGAGAGAGCAGTGCCTGGAAACCCTAGGCCGTTGACCTTAAGTTTAACTCCTGGTAGAATTCTAGAAGGCATTATTAAAGGGATGAACGCTAGAAAGGAAAATGATGAGCCCAAAGAGTCAAAAGCTTAGATTCATGTTGTCCTAGATCCAGAGCTTCGAGACCATTGAATCCAATACCCTGACTTTACTGATGAGGAAACTAAGTCAGAAAGAGGTTCAGTGACTTTCCCAGGGTCATACAGCTATAGATAGAATTTGAACCCATGTCTTCCTGGACCCTTGAGTCCAGTATCCACGACACCGTCACGCCACTTAATCCAGAGCAAGACAGATAATGTACATAAAGTGCTTTGCAAACCTCAGGCACTGTAGAAACTTGAGTGTTGTCAGGTCAGCTCAGACTCATCTCAGTTCCTTTTTATTGACAGGGTTACTGAGTCAGGAAAAGACTGTCGATCTAGATTTCAGCAGAGCACCTAGTGTTTCACAGTGCTCTTGTGGCTGGGCACTTGTGTGCCTTCCACACTAGCTGAAAGGCCAGACCCATCAAATGGTCATTATTGGTGTGCAGGCCACTTGGCAGGTCTTTAAGGCATGGTCCCAGGCCTTGGCATGTATTTTTCAGTGACTTGGATAAAGGCATGTTGGCAGACGGCGCTGCGCTTGCGGGACAAATCCTGCAGGACAGTCAGGATCAGAGGGTCTTGACAGACTAGAACATGAGGCTGAATCTTAGCAGATGAAATTTAATAGGGATTTACGTCAAGTTGTTTGTTTGTTTCAAAAAGTCAACTTCATGAGTCCCAAGGTGGAGGAGCTGTGGCTCATAATTTGTCTGCAAGAGAGTGAAATGTTTTTGTAGACTGAGATGAGTGACTGTTTGTTTCCTGGGCTGCTTGAAGAAGGGCTTCAGTTCCCAAGCTGCCCGCTTAAGGCCTCATGTGGAGAGCTGTGTTCCTTCCTGGGTGCTGCCTTCTAGAGCATACACTGGTCAGCTGGAGCATCTCCAGAAGAAACCGGCCGAGCTGGGGAATGATGCAGTTCAGTGGGTTTCGCAAGCATTTATTGAGCTATAAGATATAGCAAGGCCCCTTGCTAGGGTCTGGGTACACAATGACAAATACAATAGTCCCTGCCCTCAAGGAACTTACATTCTACTGGTTAGAAAACACCATGTATAAAGGTAAATATTAAGTAACTTCATGTCATCAGAATGACCTGCTTTATCTTTTACGCCCTCCTCTTGTTTGTTAGGAATTCTCCCCAGTTATAGTTGTAAAAGGTACCTCATCTTGTTCTTTTCAGTTTTTAAAAATAGGATAAGACCTTGTATATTCACTGTTCATATCCATTATGAGCTCATTGGAGCATATGGTGTAAGGTGTTGGTCTAAACCCTCTTTCTGCCAGATTGCCTTTCAGTTTTCTACGTGGTGCATGTTAGATAAGGAGTTCTTCTCCAAATAGTTTATACTTTCAGGTTTATTTCTGATTCTTGCTTATCTAGTATGTGGGGTAGGGGTGGGGATGGGGCAGTCCCGAACAAGTTAAATGATTACTGGGTCAGTTCGTGAAGTGCAGTTCTCCCTTTATTCCTGCTTTTTCATGATTTCCCTTGAGATCCTAGCCCTTTGTCCATCTAAATGAGTTTTGTTACTATTTTATTCATCTGTGCATTTATCTGTGGTTTACTTTTACATTTACATTTCACTGCAGGGTGGTCAGTCAGGCCTGTGGTCTTGCACTAGCTACGGCAGCCATATAGAGGTTAGATAGGAAAGGGATGATGTGAAGGGGAAGTCGGCCTTGTTCCGTGTGGTCTCGTAGGGTAGCACCAGTAAGCTGAAGAGTGGCTGGTGTCTGGAGTAGATTGGGCTGCCTCTGGGTGTTGTAGGCTCCCCATGGCTATTAGGAGAGGTGTGGTACAAGGGAGAAGTTGGACTACTCAGCCCTTGAGGCAGCTTTCACCGCCAAGATCTAGAAATTTTGTGAAAGAGGCCAGGAGCTGATATTTCTCCTTTTCCCCCAGAGCTGGAGCGTCAAATGAAGATGGAGAATCTCTTTGTGACCTGGCAGCAGAGGTCTGCCCAGTCCAACATGCCCATCAGTGTGAGCACCTCAGGGAATGGGGGTGAGAGGGCCTGAGGGCTCTCACCACTTGTGACCTCTTGGATGTATCTGAGCCCCTTCTATCTGAGCTCCTCATTTCTCCTCTCTTCCATGGACTTCTGGGGACAGCTACCCCTTGTCCCCATCTTCTTCTGACTCTGGATGGCTCCCCTGTTCCATGGATGCCAGGGATGATTCCCTCACCCCTCTTCTCCTGGCGGGGTGGCTCAGGGATGGTTCCCTCACCATCTCCTGGAGCAGCTCGCCTGCCCCCTTTTCTGATGTTTTCTCCCAGTATTGCCTCTTCTCCTGGGCCCCTGCTGGGCAGGTTACTGGCTCTAGGCTTCTTCTATCACCTTCTGACCTGAGCAAACCAATAGGACTTTGTGGGATTATACTAGGAGGGAGACAAACATGGTGTGGATACTGTAGGGAGTGTCCAGGCCTCCCTGGCCTCTCTGTCTGACTCAGTCCTCACTGGGATAGGAGGGGACAACTGCCTGACTCTTTCCATAAGAATTCTCCCTGGGTGTTTTCCCAACAGTTCCCCTCCCCTCAGGGCTGGCTCCTGTTGGGACACCTCAAGTGACCTTTATGTTCCTCCCTAGGCTGGGGAGCTGGAGACCCTGAAGCAGTCCTCGCGCCTGGTCCACTACTGTGCTACTGCCCTGCTCTTTGACCCAGCCTCCTGGCAACACGGACCCCCTGAGCCCACAGCACCCACTGAGGGAAAGGTGATTCCTGTCCCACCCCCACACGCCTCTGGCAGGGGATGAAGCAGAGGATGGAGTCCTGAGATGGGCCCCATCGTGTGGAGTGGGAGGGGGGAAGGGTCTCATCAGGGCCCAACAGGAGCTATGACCTCTGTCCTTCCCCACAGCGCCGCCATCGCTCTAATGAGTCAGGGGGTGGAGGCCGGGAGCCCACTCAGAGCTGTGAGGCTGGGGAGCTGCCCATCCCTGGGGCCCGAGAGGAACCGTGGCTCTGGGAGCTGAGCTCGACCTTCCTGCTGCAGTACGTCCAGTACCTCCAGAGCACAGGCTTCATTCTGGTGCAGCTGCGGCCCCCCTCGCCCACTCGCAGGTGAGCCCCCCCACACACATACACACACTGTCTGGAACGTCCACACAGACTCCCGAATGCAGGGCGGCCTCAGTCTCAGAGGGACACTTGCTTAGTCTCCTCATGTCTCCAAGCTTTTGTTTCCTCATCTTCATCCTTCCTCTGTCCTGAGCCTTAGATAAGCTGATCTCCATAACACAAATGGAGTTTAAAGGATTCTGTAAATGCTGGCTCTTATTGCTCAGCCCCTGGTCCCCCAGTGTGAGGCCATGCACCCCTTCATGCCATATCTGCATGTTTCCCATCTTCTTCTGGGCCTCAGACCATCCTACCTTGACCTTTCACTCACCTCCTGTTCCTTCAGTGAGCTTCTCTCTGGCTCCTGGCATGGAAAGGGGCTGTCCCCATTCATGATTTGTTTTCCCCTTGGCCTTCTACCCTGGCCACTCTATGCCCCACCTCCTGGCTCGTTCTCAAGTGGCCAGGCCCTGAGACCTTTAGTGCCAGGTCAGTATGGGTTCTTCTTGGGCCTTTGAGCTTTCTCATCTGAGGAGGAGGCAATGGGCTCCCCCAGTCCTTGAGACCCGGCTCATTTCTCAATTGAGAGTTATCTCCCTCATTCACTTATTACCCTAGGTAAGAAGCTTTCTGCTTTTTTTGTGTGTTTTTTTTTGGTGAGGCAATTGGGGTTAAGTGACTTGCCCAGGGTTACACAGCTAGTAAGTGTCAAGTGTCTGAGGCCGGATTTGAACTCAGGTCTTCCTGACTCCAATGCCGGAACACTATCCACTGTGCCACCTAGCTGCCCCTGGTAAGAAGCTTTTTGCCCGTGGCTCTGGGAATTCTCTGTGTCCCTCCCAGAAGCCCTCGCCCCTTCACTTGGCCCAGGATAGCATCCAAAGCCTACTGCTGCTAGGACAAGGCACACTTCGGGATTAAAACTATTTCTGTCCTAGATCTGGTTACCCTGGGCCCCCCTAGCCCAGCTCAAATGTTTGACAGAGGAGGAAACCAACCCACAAAGAGAAACGACATCCCCAGATCACACAGGGAGCAGAGCTGGAATTCAAACCCAGTGTTTGTTCCCTGTCTCCATGTTAGTTTCTTTGGCCCCAGGCACTGACCCTCCCATGGGAGACCTTCTGCTGAAGCTTATACTGCTTCTTTTCTCCAGTCCTGGGTCCAGCTCATGCCTTAACCCCTGGAGCAGTGTGGGAGAGCCAGCCAGACAAAATTTATTTATTTTGAGACAAAAATACATTTCTCTATTTTTTTTTTACTATATTTTTCAATGATTTATTTGAACAAAGAACCAATTGGCTTATTTCTGGTTTTCAAACACCACCACCCTAGTGACTCACTGAGCTGGCAACCCACCCACATCTTTGGATCCTTTTCAGATATTACAATCTGTCCAGCCATCCAGTCTCCACCATCTTCTACTTATGAAGTTGGTTTTTTGAACCCGAGTATAAGACATTTCTCTCTACTGCATAGCATCATTTCAGATTCAGCCTAATGTCTTGCCTTTTTTGTTCTTTTTTTTAATATTTTTTTTCTGATTACATGTAACAACCATTTTTCACATTTGTTTTTTAAATTTTAAGTTCCAGAATTCTCTCCCTCCCTGCCCTCCTCTCCCCCCTCCCCTCATTTCCCATTCCCTCCCCACTCCTTGAAACAATAAGCAATTTGATATAGGTTATACGTGTGCGATCATGCAAAACATAGTTCCATATTGGTCATGTTGTGAAAGAAAACACAGACCAAAAAAAACACACCCCCCCAAAAAAGTGAAAAATAGTATACTTCAGTCTGCATTTAGACTCCACTCCATCAGTTCTTTCTCTGGAGGTGGATAGAATTTTTTATCATGAGTCCTTTGAAATAGTCTTGTATCATTATATTACTGAGAATAGCTAAGTCATTCTCAATTGGTCATTATATAATATTGCTGGTACTATGTACAGTGTTCTCCTGCTTCTGCTCACTTCACTTTGCATCAGTTCATGTTTGCCTTTCCAGGTTTTTCTGAAATCATCCTTGCTTGCCATTTCTTATAGCACAATAGTGTCATATCACAATCATATACCACAATTGTTCAGCCATTCCCCAAATGATGGACATCCCTTCAATTTCCAATTCTTTGCCACAACAAAAAGAGCTGGCATAAGTATTTCTGTACAAATAGGTCCTTTTCCTTTTTAAAAAAAATCTCTTTGGGATATAGACCTACTAGTGGTATTCTGGGCTCAAAGGGTATGAACATTTTTATGGCCCTTTGGGCATAGTTCCAAATTGCTCTCCAGAATGCTTGGTTCAGTTCCCAGTTCCACCAGCAGTGCATTGGTGTCCCAGTTTTCCTACATCCCCTCCAACATTTATCATTTTCCTTTTGTATCCTGTTAGCCAATGTGATAGGTGTGAGGTGGTACCTCAGAGTTGTTTTAATTTGCATTTCTCTAATCAGTAGTGATTTAGAACATTTTTTCATATAACTATAGATAGCTTTGATTACTTCATCTGAAAACTTCCTGTTCATATCCTTTGACCATTTCTCAGTATACTTATAAATTTGACTCAGTTCTCCATATATTTGAGAAATGAGGCCTTTATCAGAAATACTTGCTGTAAAAATTGTTTCCCAGCTTTCTGCTTTCCTTCTAATTTTGACTGCATTGGTTTTGTTTCTGCAAACCCTTTTTAATTTAATATAATCAGAATCATCCACTTTGCATCTCATCATGATCTCTCTCTCTCTGTCTCTCTCTTGTTTGGTCATAAATTCTTCCCCTCTCCTGTCATATTCTTTTTGTGTAAAGCTCTGTCATCCATGGTGTTAGCTGTTCCTCTCAGCACTGTGTCAGATGCACGTTTAATGACTATGCCATCTACGCCTTTATCCAAATCATTGGACAGACACGGGGCCAAGCACAGACCCCCGGGGCACTCCATTGGAGACTTCCTGCCAAGGTGACGTTGAACGTCCATCTAGTCAAGCAGTTCTAAATGCATCTGATTGTATTGTCTTCTAGTCCATTTCTCGCCACCTTTTTCATAAGAACAGTATGAGATACTTTATGAAAGCTTTGCCCAAATTTAGGAAAACTATAGCATTCCTCTGATCCATTAACTTAGTTACCCTGTCAAAAAAGATCATATTAGTCTGGTAGGCTGTTCTTAGTGAAGGTAGTATGGTGAAAAGAGACCTAGGATCTGTATGTAGTTAGTGGCCCTGGGTTTGAATCCTAGTTTATCTGTTTACTACCTGTTTGACCTCTGACAAACCACTTAATCTCTCTGGGTCTAGGGAGACAACAAGGTGTTCTGGGTCCATATCTCTAAAACTAGTTCACGAGTCCCACTCAGTAGTCAACCAGGGAACACAGATCAAAGAAAAGACATTTATGCAAACAGCATAGTAAAAAAAACAGTAATGGCCACAAAGCTTCTCTCCCATAAGCCTGGGGTGCTTCTCCCACAAATGCCTGCGGCATCGCTGGGAAGAATGGACACACTCATAGAGCTCGCAAGTGGAAGGCAGATGGGTAAGGGACACATGACCAACTCAGTCGTGCAGCACTGCCCTGATAATCTGTGTCCTTGCTTTATTCCTTTTGGGCTTACGTGTCTGCTCGAGGTCCCACTGTTCTCTGCTCGACAGAGTGTTACTTCCTAAAGAATTGCTCCACTACAAGATGCCTTCGCCGGAAGAGGAAGAGATTGCCTCGGCTCTCTTCTCTACTGCCGGGGTGACTCAGCTTGCTCATATTTTTTAATGCCTCCAGCCAACCGCCCTCTAATTCATCAGATCATTGAATCAGAATAGATTGGAGCTCAGAGGCCATCTGGAGACCATCTAGGCCTAACCCTTGTTCACAAATGAAGCCAGAACCCAGGAGCCCGAGAGATCATTTGGTTTGCCCAGGGCCGTAGAGTCATGCAGTGGCAGAGCTGGATTTTGAGCCCAGCTCTGATTTAAATATAACACGCTGCTTCCCTTCTGTCAAGTTGATTGAAAACACCTTTACATCAAGGAAGGGTGGTGAGTGTGTCTAGACCCCTCCGAACACTTGGTCACCGGGTCACCCGCCTCCCGTCCATTACTGCTTGCACGTAGATGAGGTCTCATCACCCACAGTTTTGGGGAATGTGGCCACTCGGTGTCTCAAAGGGGCTGAACCTCAGCAGCTCCTGGTCTCTTTTACCTCTACCTGAAATCCTGTGATTTCATCAAGTGAGTGGAGGAGACTGGAGGCAGCCACCCTTCCCTCAGACTTCATTCCCTAAACCTGGAAGCTGCAGCCCCCTTTCAGAGTGACCAGGACCCCTTCCCAGGTACATGAACTTATAGTAAACTGAACATGTGGGTCAAGTCCCCCACTGATCCATGCACACACTGGCATTCTTCCACGTGCTGCCTTCCTCCACCTCTTGTCCATCTACACTGAGGTTCCTGCCATTCAGAGAAGAGGTCAGTAGGTGTCTCACCCATCTCTCCAACCTCTGCCACCCCCTCCCCCTGCTCTGTTTCAGCACCAGCCGGCTCCGGGCCATGGCCATTCTAGGCACCGAGGGTCGAGGTTCTTTCTCCTGCCCCAAGACCAAGACAGATGGGAGCCCAAAGGTGAGTCTCCCCACCGCCACCCTCCCCCCATCCTCCAGAGAACTTGGGCTGCCCAGCTGAGAGCCTCACTCTTGCCTCCTTTTCCCTCAGAGTGCCAGCTCCCCCATCACCACCTACTATCTGCAGCGGGCTCTGCCTGGAGGCATTGTACTCATGGAACTGGCTTTCCAGGTGAGTGCTGGGCACAGCTTGCTGTCCCCCACCCCCAGTCTGCTTTGGCCTGTCCTAGTCTCTGTCGTCAAACTGAAAGTGGATTAGCAAAGGGAGGACACAGCATGGAGCCTTACCCAGCCCTCCCAGGTGAACAGCTGTTGTGGACAACTCACACACAGGTTGGAGCCTTTTGTCTTTGTACTCTGAGTCCGCAGGATGGGGCCTGGTGCCGAGTAGTAAGCACAGTGCATGGGAGGGCACAGGTGAGCTCCAGGTGAGATGGAAAGAGAGAGCAGTCAGGGAAGGCTCCTTAGAGGAGGCATGCCTGAGCTCAGCTGCAGAAGATAAGGTGTCCAAGAGGCAGGCTTTGGCCATCAACAGCAATCTGTGAAACACCTATTATAGCCAGGCACTGTGTCGGCACAGGAGATAATGAGACAAAAATTAAACTTTTTGTTTGTAAGCACCTTTGGGGCAGTTAGGTGGCACAGTGGATAGAGCACCAGGCCTGGAGTCAGGAAGACTGATCTTTGTGAGTTCAAATCTGGCCTCAGACACTTAGTGTGACCCTGGGTAAGTCACTTAACCCTGTTTGCCTCAGTTTCCTTATCTGTAAAATGAGCTGAAGAAGGAACCACTCCAATATCTTTGCCAAGAAAACCCCAGATAGGGTCATGAAGAGTCAGATGCGACTGAACAACAACGACGACGACAATGAGGACCTTACATTCTGTATATATTCTTGTATGATCGTGTCCAACTCTTCATAAGCCCATTTGGGACAGAGTTCCAGGAGTAGGGCACAGCCAGTGCAAGGGTACAGAGATGGGAGATGGGGCATTGTGTGCGAGGAACAGTAAGGAAGTTAGTGTCGCTGAATCATAATCTACATGGAGGAGAGTAAAGTATAAGAAGAGTGAAAGGTTAGGGAGGGCGTTTAAAGGCAGAGGATTTTATATTTGTTCCTGGAGGTGATAGGGAGCCATGAGAGTTTACTGAGGAGGGGTGGGGGAGGCGATCAGACCTGAGCTTTAGGAAAATCCCTTTGGTGGCTGAATGGAGGGTGGAGGGCAGTGGGGAGAGATCGAGGCAGGCAGACATCCCCCCCCCCCCCCCCCCCGCAGCAGTCATTGCCATGGCCCAGGCTTTTGAGGCAGTGAAGGCCTGTACCAGGGTGGAAGCTGTGTCAGAGGAGAGAAGGGGCAGGGGGGTGGGGGTGGGAGATGGCAAACCTGGGTGACTGAGAGAAGGGTGTAGCCCTGGCTGGTAATAGAAGTTGGGAAGAAGAAAAGGTTCTTGGGGAAAGAGAGCGAGTTCAGTTTTGGGAGTGTTTGGCTCAAGATGTGTGGAACATCTAATTGGAGATGCCCAGCGGGCAGTTAGAGATTTGAGTCTGCAGATTTGGGGAGAGATTAGGCCTGGACCAGTCAATCTTTGGATCATCGGCATAGAGATGATAAGTGAATCCTTGGGAGCTGATGCCATCACCAAGTGAAATAGTGTAGAGGGAAAAGAGGGCCCAGCATGGAACCCCGGGGGCCACCCGCAGTTAGCAGGTGTGAGATGGGTGAGGACGTAGCAGAGGAGGCGGAGAGGGAGGAGGAGGAGGAGAGAGAGCCAGGGCCTGAACACCTGGAGACGAGAGAGGCTCAAGGATAGGGTCATCCATGGCGTCAGAGACGCAAAGGAGGATGAGGGAGAAAAGGGCTGGGTTTGGCGGGTAGCTAGCAGGAATGTCAGAGGCAGTGGAGGGCTTTTTGAGAACCTGGGAGACATGGGGGTGTTTGGAGACAGTGTGAAAGTAGCTCGTCTAGAGGGAGAGATGGAAGATCAGTGAGATCCCGGGGATGATGGGGTGGACGATCTCCAAGATCACAGGGGCCACCCTTCCAGAGTCGGGGAGAGAATAGGGGATGGTGCCAGGGGGGTGGGGTTGTGAGCTGAGAGAGACGTGGGGGGGAGGGGTGACATGGGACTCAAAAGAGGGAGCCCTAATTGGGAAGAGAAGAGAGTGTAGCCTAGGAAGGGTAGCCGGCTGATAAAATGAATATAACATTGGACCTGGAGACAGGAAGACCTGAGTTCAAATACAGCCTCAGACATTTACTAGCTTTGTGACCCTGGACAATTTGCTTCAACATTCTGTGCCTCAGTTTCACCATCTATAAAATGGGACTAATAACATCCCAAGATTGATGTGAGGACCACTTGAGATAACATACGTCAAGCATTTTGCAAGCCTTAAAGCACTCAGTAATTGCTGGCTGTTACTAGCCAGAGCAGAAGTGATGACCTGGGAAAGAGCTGAGGGTGGAGGGACTGAAGGTCCCAGGGAGGACAAAGCACCGGAGTGATAAAAGGCTTACATTGGCCCAAAGGATGCTGTCGTGGCGTGGCAGGAGACACATGAGGGCAGAAAGTGAGCAGAGGGCACCGTACGAGGGTAGCAGGGTAAGCAGAGGGCACCGGGAGCTGGCCCTGAACGCCTCATGGGCTCCCAGGGGATGGGCTCCATACTCTGCACTGGGTAACGGACATGTTCTCAGGAGGCAGCAGTGATGGGAGATGGCAGGAGGCAGGGTCGAGGCTGGGCAGTGGAAGTGGCCGTGGGGAGTCCCTGCCCCAACTCACTGTGTTAGAGGCACAACAGAGTATGGAGAGAATGCCTGGGGATGCCTCGGCACCTGGGAGGAGCTGCCAGATAGAAGAGGTCAGAAATCAAGGGAAGTTTGTTCAGGACAGAGCAGGGTGAGCAGAGGCAGAGTGGAAAGAAACATGAGGAGGGGCTGGGCCTTTGCTGTGGGGGCGGCCTGTGGCGGCAGAAAGACACCAATTCAGGGGAGCAGAAATAGACCGCTTTGGCTGGGGTGGGGTGTGAGAGATGGGGAGTCATCGGAAATAAAGCTGGGAAGAGGCCCTGAAGTCAGATTCTGGAGGGCAATGAAGTGCTGGGCCAGGCCGTGTGTTTGATAGGCGGCAGGGAAACAGCCTGGGCACACAACCCAGGCCCTAGAAAATAATTATGCAGCTGTGTTGGTTGGAAAGAGGGAATGCAGTTGGGGTAAGTCAGGCAGGAGGTGAAGAGGACCTGAAATAAGGTCATAGCTGCGTGAGTGGGGGGAGGAGACAGATGGAGAGGACTCAGACTCATTGGATGGGGGGAGGGGTGGGGACGAGGGGAGAGTCCAGAGAGACTGGAGGTCTGGGGACAGACATGGGGAGGGCACAGACGTGGTCCTCAACCCCTGCCTTCTCGGCTCCTCCCAGGGCTGTTACTTCTGTGTGAAGCAGTATGCATTGGAGTGTTCCCGCATCCCCATGGGGCAGGCTGTCAATTCCCAGGTACAGTGGGCAGCAAGGGGGCGGGGGGAGGGAGAAGGGGAAGGTTCTTTTTTCTGCCTGGTTCTGGAAGCGAGGTGTTACGAGCAGAGAGCAAGCCAAGCTCCCTTCCCTTAGCCCCTCAAAGATGGAGTGAGGGCCAGGAATACGCAAGATGCTGACCAGTTATTAGTCACTTCCTGTGTGCCAAGCACTGTGCCAGGCACTGGGGAAACAGGCAGAGGATGTACCTCCAGAGCTTATGTTCTAAGGTGCCTAGGAAAGGCCTTCTTCAGAGAGCTCCATCCCTGGCCAGCCACCATTCTCAGACACTTTTCTTAGCCAACTATTCACACTCCAAGTCAGTTTTTTTTTAAATTTTCACATTAGTCATGTTGTAAGGAAGAATTAGAACCAATAGAAGGAACCACAAGAAAGAGGAAAAGAAAAAAAAAGTGCAAATAGTGTGCTTCGATCTGCATTGAAAAGCCATAGTTCTTTCTTTGGATGCGAATAGCAGTTTCTATCATGAGTCTTTTGGAGATGTCTTAGATTCTTGCATTGCTGAGAAGGGCTAAGTCTATCAAAGTCAGTCATCACACGATGTTGTTACTGGATGCATTGTTCTCCTGGTTCTGCTCACTTCACAGCATCAGATCATACAAGTCTTTCCAGGCTTTTCTGAAGTCAGCCTGCTCATCATTTCTTACAGCACAATAGTATTCCATCACATTCATATACCATAGCTTGTTCAGCCATTCCCCAATTGATGGGCATCCCCTCGGTTTCCAATTCTTTGCCACCACAAAAAAAGCTGCTACAAATATTTTTGTCCATGTGGGTCCTTTTCCCATTTGTGTGATCTCTTTGGGATATAGCCCTAGAAGTGCTATTGCTGGGTCAAAGGGTATACACATTTTTATAGCCCTTTGTGCATAGTTCCAAATTGCTCTCCAGAATGGTATCATTTCACAACTCCACCAGCAATGCATTAGTGTTCCAATTTTCCCACATCTTCTCCAACATTTATCATTTTCCTTTTTTGTCATGTTGGCCAATCTGATAAGTGTGATGTGGTACCTCAGAGTTGTTTGGATTTGCATTTCTCTAATCAATCATGATTTAGAGTATTTTTTCATATGACTGTAGATAGCTTTAATTTCTTCACCTGAGAACTGCCTGTTCGTATCCTTTGACTGTTTATCGATTGGGGAATGACCCCAAGTCAGGTTTTTATCTTCCCTCCCACAAGCATCAGGGAGGGAGACTCACCTTGTACGTCATGCTCAAAACTTCCCAGCCCTGGGGGGCACTTTCTGAGTTCCCTCCCACAGTATCATTTGGCCCCGTCATCAGAAGTGGGTCCTGAGGCTCTGTCGTGACACGTTGTGAAGGTCCTCTGCCCTACCCCATCAGGACAGGCCAGCAGAGGCCGGCCTCAGTGCCCCTGAGCAGGGCACGTCCAGCACCCTATTCTTCTCACGATGACCTGCTCTTCAGGAGCTCCGGCTCCAGCTGCTCAGCCTAAAACCCTATCCAAAGTCAGGTCCAGCCCCTTTCTGCCCTCCCCCTGAAGCCCTGATTCCATCAGAGTTTGCTTAGGAACCTTCCATCATGCCTGAGTAACCTGGAGGGTGATGAGGTTTCCCAGTGGAGGCAGGGAATGTGGTCAGTTGGCTGGGGCAGGAATCTGAGCATCACATTCCCTCCATGTGCCTGGCTCTCCATTGGCTTGAGACTCACCTCTGAGGCCTTGCAGTGAGGCCCAGCCCCCACGCCTGACGGGGCCTCCCCTCTCCATGGCTTCTCATGGGTCCTACGTCCCTTGCCAGGGACCTTCTCCTGGAGGCCATGTGAGCCCACCTGCCCCCCTCAAGTCATGCAGTGCTCCCCAGGGTTCTCTGCCCTCGTCCCCTCCCCTTCCTTGCTGTCAGCTGAGGGTCTCAGGAGTCATCCAGTCCCCTCCCCTCACTTTACAGACTGGGACAGTGAGGCCTGGCCATGCTGCAAGTCCTGGGAAATGAGCCAGGCTCTCTCCCTGACACTGGTCAGGCACTGTCTTCGGCCCAGGCCCCTGGCGTGGGCAGCAGGGTCACTGCCCTGTGCCCTCTTGCCCCCTGTCTCTCCTCAGCTCTCCATGCTGTTCACCGAAGAGTGTGACAAGGTTCGGGACCTGATGCATGTGCATTCCTTTAGCTATGACTTCCACCTGCGGCTGGCGCACCAGCACGTGCTGGGCTCCCACCTGGCCTTGCGCCAGGGCTACCACCTCACCAGCTTCCTGCGCTGCTTCCTCACTCACCACCCCGATGGCCCCAACTTTGGCCGCAACCACATCTACCAGGGTAAGAGTGGGGCTGGAGCTCAGGCCGCCCTTCTGCCAGGACCCCCAGCTGCAGCCGCCCACTCCCCTCGGTCCCCTCTGCTCTGCAGGGACCATGGAGCTCCCCACCCAGCTCATCGCCGCACACCAGCTCTACAATTACGTGGCCGACCACGCCAGCACCTACCACCTGAAGCCGCTGCGCATGGCCCGCCCTGGCGGGGGCCCGGAACACAATGAATACGCCCTGGTGTCTGTGTGGAACAGGTGAGGCTGCCCCAGGGTCGCCCAGCCGGGGGCCTGGCAGGTCCTGCTCCCTGAGGCTCACCTGGCTCAGGTTTCCAGGAGCCCCCACCATTGTGGCAGGGCCCTGGCCTAATGTGAGGCTGCTATGCTGTCTGCCCCTCGTAATGCTTGGTCCCTTCCCCCATGTGTGGGGAGGCAGCCCTCCCACTCCCTCCCCCCATGCCTCCTGGGCCAGGGAGGGCAGCAGCCTAGCATGGACCCATCCATCCTTGTAGTCCGGGCGTCTACCAAGACTCGGAGGGCCTTCGCCACCAGGACGACTTTGATGTGTCCCTGCTGGTATGTCACTGCGCTGCACCCTTCGAGGAGCAGGGGGAGGCAGAGAGACACGTGCTCCGGTAAGCCTGGCTGGGAGGCTGGAGACTAGCCTGGGGGTCAGGGAGCCCCCAGGCCAGGCCTCACGGCCTGCCCATGTCTGTGCCCCCCCCAGCCTGCAGTTCTTCGTGGTGCTCACCAGCCAGCGGGAGCTCTTCCCCCGACTCACAGCTGACATGCGCCGCTTCCGGAAGTCCCCTCGCCTCGCCCCTGAACCGGAAGGTCCCAGTGGGTCAAGAGGGGGCCCTGGCGAGGTGGGGGGAGGCCTGCAAGGGTCTGACCTCACCCCTGAGCCAGGCTCAGCAGCCCCCCTGTTCCCGCCTCTTGCCGCTGAGGTGGGCATGGCACGGGCGCTGTTGGCACAGCTGGTGCAGCAGGCGGGCAGTCACTGTCGCCGAGACACGCTCTGGAAGCGCCTCTTCCTGCTGGAGCCCCCTGGGGCTGACCGGCTGCGGCTGGGCGGGCGACTGGCCCTGGCAGAGCTGGAGGAACTGCTGGGAGCCGTGCACGCCAAGTCCATTGGGGACATTGACCCCCAGCTGGTGAGGCCCGGGCAGGAGGGAGCGGGAGGGGAGTGAGGGGGCCCCCGGCACAGGCCGAGCACATGGCTCCCTCTAGGACTGCTTCCTGTCCATGACGGTCTCCTGGTACCAGAGCCTCGTCAAAGTTCTCCTGAGCCGCTTCCCTCAGAGCTGCCGCCACTTCCAGAGCCCGGATTCAGGGACTCAGTACTTGGTGAGGAGTCCCCCGTGTCAGAGGCCCTCCCTCATCTGATAGAGGCTGAGCCGTCCTCTGGCAGTCCCTGCCATTCCCCCTCTAAGACCTGCCCCTAGGGTCAGTGAGCTGTCGTGCTGGGCTCAGAAGTCCTGTGTGGCCTGGGTCAGGGCGAGTCTGCAGAGCCCAGGGGTGACCAGGAAGGAGGGGAGGCCTGGGGGCTCAGGAAGTCCTCAAGCCGGCCCCTTCACCAGTAAGGATGGTGCTAGGGGCTACCGGGGGAAAGTAGTCTCAGCATCTCCTGGCCCTTGGCCAGGACATCATGGGCTGCACCTCGGGTGCAAAGGTACAGTCAGACTCCCGGGAGCAGCAGCCTGGGCCCCAGGCCTGCAGCTGACAGCAGGACCCCGCTCCTCTGGGGACACAGCATGGCGCCATGCACAGGAGCACCCAGAAGGCTCAGAAGGGGCTTCTGGACGGGGGCGGGTCAGGGCTGAGCCCTGAGCAAAGGTGGGGCTTCTGAGAGGACGAGAGGAGGAACAGGCCGTGCATTCCAGGCCGGGCCGAGTTCCAAGGAACAGCGAAGGAGGTCAGTGTGTCTGTCACAGGTTATGGGGAGAAGTGGGACATGAGCATGGAGACAGGTTGGGAAGGGCTTGAAGTGCTAAGCTCCTTCCTAGGGGTAATAGGGAGCCAGGGCAGATTCTTGAAGGAGTGACACAGTCAGAGATGTGCTAATACAGGAAGGTCATTGAGAATTATGTGGGGAATGGATTGGGGGGGGACCATTGGGAGGAGGCCACTCCCACCCCCGCTGACACATGAGAGGCATGAAGAGGCAGTGAGTTGAGAGCGGCAGGTGAGGGAGTGGGACGTGGGACATGGCAGAGTGAGGCGATCATGTGACATCATTGTCATGGCCTGCCAGTGCCATGGGAAGGAGGGAGCTGCGGAAAGGGGAGGAGAGATCCCAGGGGAGCCAGGAACCTGGTGTTGCCTCGAGGGCATCGGAAGAAGTTTCCCCCAGGGTGCCGAGCTGCTTTCAGAGAGAATGTGGGATCTGATCTGATCCAGTCTGACGATGCCCAGGAGGGACAAATGTCAAGTCCTGTGGTTGGGCCCAAAAGGCAGCTTGCCAAATTCAAGATGCGAGAGATGTGGCTAGAAAAAAGTTTATCTGAAAAAGAAGTAGTGGTCCAAGTGGAGAGCCAGCTCAGCAGCCCAGTCAGCAGAGTACTGAACAGCCCAGACAGCCGGTGCGACCTTGGCTCTGTGGAGGTGGTCACGCCGAGGGATATGCCTTGGTCAGCTCGCGGCTTGAGGATCCTGTGCCTTTCTGGGCTTCGTCTTTGAAGGAAGACGTTGGGTCCCCGGGGTCCAGCTGCAGTTGACTGAGGAGGGCTTGTAGCCATTCCCAGGACACTCTTGGCCACCAGTCCTTGCAGGGAGCCGTGCACATGAGACCCTCTGGGCCACTCCCTGAGGAGGGAGGAGCATTGAGCATTTGCCTCCTCTGAGGTGCCCTGAGGTCTGAGGGCTCCTGCCCTGGGAGCAGGAAATGGAGATGGAACAGGTGGGAGAGCACAGGGAGGACGGGCAGAGGAGTGGGGACCGGGGGCAGCCCGGGGTACGAGGGGACGACCTGGGCCTCGCTCTCACCCGCTCTGACCCCTGCCCCTTACATTGCGCAGGTGGTGCTAAACCAGAAGTTCACGGACTGCTTTGTGTTGGTGTTTCTTGATTCTCACTCAGGAAAGACGGTGAGCGGGCGTGGTGCCAGGGTGCCAGGGCTTGACGTCAAGGCTCCCGGTCTCCGCTCTGTTCACTCACAGCCTCTCTTGTCTCCCCAGTCGCTCACGGTGGTTTTCCGAGAGCCATTCCCTGTACAGCCCCAGAACAGTGAGAGCCCTCCTGCCCAGCTGGTCTCCACCTACCACCACCTGGAGTCTGTCATCAACACAGCCTGCTTCACCCTGTGGACTCGCCTTCTCTGAGGAAGGGGCTGTGCTCCCCAGACCTGCTGACCACCAGGAGTCCTCCCCAGAGCTGCCCCCATCCCTGACGACCACTGGGGGGGACGACCCTCCCCCCAGGGTCCCAGAACTCCTGACCACCTGGACTGAGGGGTCCCTATCCTGGTGACTACCACGGGCCAACCCCTGTCGGGGTCAGGCCTAGCAACGAAGGGGTGGTGCTCTGCTGGCCTCCAGGCTTCCACTTCTCAGGCAGGGGCTGGACCTCTTGAGCCCTGCACATGCCCACCCTGGCAGGAGAGGACTGGGCCCGCCGGCCACCATGTAATGCCCCTCCCTGACTCTTGGCTGGGCACTGTGGGAGATAGAAAAGAGAAGAAAGATTGACCAGAGCCCTGACAATAAAGGGCGTATCCTGCTGCTGTCCTCGTGGGGACCTGGGCCCCTTAGCCTTGGAGCTGCTCACGCTGAGGTCTCAGCGCTGGCTTGTCCCTTCTCCCTGCAGGCCCTCAGTGCTTTCTGGCCTCAGGGAAGTTTCCTGTGTTCATTGGATGGAAAGCCCCCATGTGTACTTGGGGACAGCCAGTGATTGTGGTAGCCCTGGCTAAGCCACTGTCTCTCAAGCTCAGTTTCTCCGTTAGTAAGATGGAGATCCACCTCATGGGGCTCCTGTGGGGAAAAGTGGGAACTTTGGGGGATCATGGCAAAGTTTCTCTGGTGCTCCCTGATTCCCAAGTGGACCCCAGGGCCAGGCTGCAGAATTCTCCAAGGCCTTACCTGCCTAGGCAGGGCAGGCATCTGAGGCCCATGGGGAGGGGTGGCCCTGCCGCCACCCCCGAGGCCATCCTGGGATTGGAGAGGCAGGCAGTAGTGATTGCCTGCTGTATGCAGTGGCTTGTCCTTGGGGGCCCAGGCAGGGTGTACCTGAGGCCTGACCAGGAAGGACATGAGCCGTCTCCAGCCTCCCTGCTACACTGCACGCTCACCTGTCATCCTTCCCTGCCCCCTCTGCTCTCACTCTCCTCTCTGCCTTCTTTGTCTTATTTCTGCCTGGAAAAGTTCGATTCCGGGACACTCCCAATAAAATACTGTGACCAAGGGTAAGTCAGTTCTCTCTGAGCCTCAGTTTTCTCACTGATAACATAAAGTTGAATTCAATCAGGGTTCCCCCCCCCCAAGATCAGCCTCCTTGACCTTGGTGATTCTTTGAAGCTAATTGCCCTCCTTGTTGGGCCCTGGAAGCCCTCCAGGTTGGTTTTCCACCCCTGCTTGCGGGGCTAAGCCCCCTGGACCTTGTTTGTAAACCTCCTCTGCCTCCATGGTAGAATTGTCCAGCCTCGGAAAGATGGATGAGAGGGCCTCCCTAGCCCAGCGCTGCCAATGTTCCGCACACCTTCCTCTCTGGTCCTGGGGTGGTGGCCAGCACTTCTCCCCACCCCCTCCAATCTTGTCAGACGCTCTGGAGTCAGGAGGGGGAGGCAGGCTGTCATTCAAGGCTTCTCTAAGGCATCCACTTGGGAGGGGCGGGGCACAGTACTCTGTTAAGAAACTCTCCATGACTCACACAGATCTCTGACCTCACCGCTGTTGGTCCTTCCACCAGTGCTGTTTGTACCTCATCCTACCCGCCTGTCCGGGGTGACTCGGCCAGGTCCCATCCTATTGGCCACAGGGGGCCCCAGACAGTGCAAGGATGGTGATGGAGTACAAGGGCTCCCTCCTTTGGCCCCAGGAGCAGCCCATCGTCTTTTTTGATTATTGAGGACAGCCTCTGCATGGTCTTATGGTCAGCCTATTATGTGCCAAGGTAGGGGCTTTCTCCCTTGTTAAATGCTCGGGACACACACAAAGCAACGCAAAAGACAGTTCTCCGTCTCGGCGAGCTTGTAGTCTAATGGGGCAGACAAGCTATGCAGAGGGTGATAGAGGGGTAATAGAGGAAAATCACTAGCATGGAGGGAGGGGGATCAGGAAAAGCTTCCTGTGGATGGTGGGATGTTAGCTGGGACTTGAAGGAAGCCAGGAGATGGAGGTGAGGAGGGAGGGCATTCTAGGTAGGGGGCACAGCCCGTGAAAATGCCTGGAGTCTGGAAATGGAGTGATGTTAGAGCAAGGCCCATGTCACTGGATCCCAGAGTATGGGGGGAGGGAGGGTAGGAAGTGGAAGGAGTGGAAAGGGCTTTGAATGCCAAGCAGGATTTTATACTTGACCCTGGAAGAGACATGGTCAGATCTGCACTGCAGGAAGTGCAGGAAGTGGGTCGCTGGGTGGAGGATGGACTGGAGCAGGGAGAGACTTATGGAAGAAAGGTTATAACCTGCTGCTATTGCAGTAGCCCAGACGTGATGAACTCCCGTACCAGAGTGGAGGTAATGTTGGAGGAGAGAAGGCAAATTTGACAGGCCTTGGCACCAGATTGGCTGGGAGGAGTCAAGGATGAGATCGAGGTCAGGAGCCTGGGTGACTGAAAGGATGATGGAGCCCTTAACGGTGACAGGGAGGGAGGAGGGTTTAAGATAAGTTTAGTTTTAGACGTGTCCAATAGGACGTCCAATTGGAGATTCGGGTCCGGAGGTCAGGAGGGAGATTAGGGCTGGACAAGTCGATGTGAGAGTCATCTGTATAGAGGTGATCGTTGAAACCATGGGAGTGATGAGATCACCAAGTGGAAAAAGCATAGAGGGAGAAGCTAAAAGGGCCCAGGAGAGAGCCGTGAGGAACGACCTGGATAGAGGTTGGCAAAGGTGACTGAGAAGCCAGATTGCAGAGAGGAAAGAAAAGGAAGACAGCTGTTGGAGTTGGCCTTCACAAGTGTAGCCACAAAAGAGAGGAGAGATGTGGGATGCTAGCTAATGGGGATCGAAGTAGATTTTGGGGGGATGGGGAGACCCGACATGTTTGTAGGCATTAGGGAAGCAGCCAGTAGACACGGAAAGACTGAATTATCAAAGTGAGGATTAGGGCGGGGACAATCTGCTGGAAAAGATGGGATGGAAAGAGATTACTTGTGCACGTAGAGGGGTTGGCCTTGGTAAAGAGAAGGGCCACTTCATTAGGGGAGACAAGGGTGATGGTGGAGATGGAATCACCAGAAGAATACTGGCATTAAAAACATGGGCCTTTGCCTCCAGGAGAAGCTGCGGTCAGGCAAAGCACTGAACAGTTTCCTCAAAGGCCACTCACTGCCTGCTTCCCACTCTGAGCCCGGCTCTTCAACCATCCGCCTGCACCTGCCCTGAAGATTTATTCTGCTGTGGAATACTGTTTGTGAGATCCTGCCTCTGCCCCACTGGACCTGTCCTCAAAGAGCCTGGATTCCTCTTTAGATTGTCCTCAAACATTTTGGATGGGTGGTAAAGTAGGCTCACTTCATGGACTTGGAGTCTCTTACTATTCTAATTACTGACCTTTGGATTCTCTTCACTTGACAACACGTAGCATAACCAGCACAGAAGCCCTGTCGCCCCTTCGTTCCTGGACACGTCCGTTTCCCCTCTACAATGCTTCCCCTTAATGTGGGCTTGTTGATGGGTTGACTGCAGTCTGGGTCCAACTGGCTTTCTCACCTGCCACGTCACACTGCTGACTCAGCTTCATTTAAGACGTGCTGCCTTCTCCCCATTTCTCCTCTATCTTGGTTTTGTAAAGATGTTTTGTGAACCTGTCTCGGACTTCACACTTAGGCTTCTTGAATGTCATTCAGTCTGGACCAAGGTCTTTTTCAGACTGTCATTCAGTGATCCCTCACCATGTCGTATCATCTGCAAATTTGGCAAGAATGCTACCTGTATGTCTTTATCAGATAAAGTCATGGACAGGGCCTTACAGAGACCACTGCAAGCACTCTGTGGGAGAAAAATCCTCCCAGATAACATTTAAATAATATGCTCTCTAGGTCTGGGAATGCAATCAGGTTGGAATCTATTTAAGTATCAGTAACCAAGTATTATTTTCTGTTCCACATTTCTCCATCTTTTCCAGAATCTTCATCCAGAAGCAGCTAGATGGTGCCATAAGGCACACAGGTGCTAGGCCTGGAGTTAGGAAAACCCAAGTTCAAATCCTGCTTCAGATACTAGCTATTTGACCCTGGGCAAGTCATTTAATTTCCCTGAGCCTCAATTTCCTCATCTGTAAATGGGAATAATAATAGTACCTACCACACAGGGTTGCGAGGATCAAGTGAGATAATATTTGTAAAAGGCCTTACAAATCTTAAATTGCTATAAAAGTGCCATAGAAATTGTTTATTATTTTTAATAATTATTATTAAGACCCAAGTAAGCTACATCCACAGCATTCTCATCTGCCAGGTTAGTGAACCCCTTCAAAAACGGAAACAAGGTTAGTCTGGTTGTAATCACGGCTTCTTTCTCCAGATGATCTGTCTCTTTAATAATATATTCTCAGGGGCAGCTAGATGGTGCAGTGGATGGAGCACTGGCCCTGGAGTCAGGAGGACCTGAGTTCAAATCTTGCCTCAGACACATAATACTTTCTAGCTGTGTGAGTCTGGGCAAATCGCTTAACCCCAATTGCCTCACTTAAAAAGGCAAAAACAACAACAACAAAATACAAGTCAAATTCATTGTCCAATAGTTTGCAGGCTCTCTTTTCTTCCTTTCTGGGAAATGAGGACATTTGCCCTTTTTCAGTCCCATCTCAGTGACGTTTCCAGTATCACTCAGTGATCCTGTCTGCTGACTCTTGTGATGGAGGCCAGAGTTCACCTGGGCCTGGTCAGCCAGGTAACTGGGCTCTCCTACTATCTTCCTTCCTTATGTTAGGTATTAACTGCTATTCGTCATATTTGCTTTGGGCTTTCATCGTCCAAAGAGCATTTCCTTAGTAGAGTGAAATAAGACTGGTGCAGCTCTGTCTTGTTGATTGGTTCCCAGTTTTGACCTTCTACTGGATACTGGGCTGGATACAGCGTTAGTCCATGGAATCATACCTCTTAAAAGGGCAAAGCTTGGAAGTGAGAGGCCAACAGTCAACTTCTGCCTTTTAACCAGGTCTTCTAAGTTGCTGCCGACCTGGCCTGATTCTGTTCTCATCTTAGCATGCTCAAGGAGCTCAGTCAGCCAGCCCTGCCCAGCAGGTACTGTTCCCTCTCTCTTCTACCCTGCTGTCTTAGGCCCCTGAAAAGCGACTCCAGAACTATTTCTTGCAGTTTTTCAGATCCTGGAATCCCCCAAACCTTGACATCTGAGCCACCCATATCTGGCCTTTGCCTCCTCTTTCCTTAGTCCACCTCCAGCAGACCCCAAGGGAGAACACAAAGATGGGCTCCAGGGACATGTGTTAGTGAAGTAAAGGAAGATTGCCCAGTCCTGAGTCTGGGGGCCAGAAGGGGGAAGGCTGAGCAGAAATAAAAGTTAATTGCCCAGTTTCCCTGGAGGCCTCACTCATTGTGACAGACCCTGCCTGGGGGCTCCTGATAGTCGGGGGTTCAGGAGCAACTAGTAGGACTCCTCCATCCCTCCCACTTCCTCTTGTTCTCAATGTAATTCTGTCTTCCGGCAGTCCCAAGGCGGAGCTCATTCTTGGCTGAGAGGAATCTCAATGAGAGATTAAAACACTTCCTTGGGGTTAGTCACCCTCCCAAGTGACAATTGCCAGTTCTGTTTCTCTGAGCCACCCAGGCAGCAAAGCCACTGCTGGGGTGATGTTTTTAGTTGGGGACCCAAGGAGGAGAGGGGGGGATCCAGATCTGGAGGTAGAGAAAAGGAAAATTACATCTCCAAACTTAGGAGTCCCTTGATTAGAGCCCTGGGCCACCAGCACCATGGAGACCTGCATTTGAGACACGGTTACATCCCCTACACACCAGGTTGGTTATTAGGGAATATCACCCCAGTTCACAGAGGGGGGCCAGGCATTCCCAGATGTTTCCATAATCTGCCACTGAAGAATACCTAGTATCGAAATGGTGCTAGTAACTCCGGGATCCCCCATTCCCTGCTTCGAGTCCACCCCACCCTCACTTCCCTGCTTTGGCTTCGGTGGGCCTTACGGCTCCAGACTCCAAGGCCCAACCAAGCCTAGAGGCAGGTGGCTGCTATGAGTCAGAGCTGTGGATTTGGACCGGGAGAAATGAGTTCAAATTCAGCCTCAGAAGCTTACTAGGCAAGTCACAAGTGGCCTTTTTGGTCTGCCTCTGTTTCATTGCCAGTAAAGTGGGGGCAAGGTTCTTGTAAGGACAAAAATGGAAATCATATTTGCAAAGTGCTTGGCAAGACCCACATAAATGCTAACTAGTAGTAATGGGGTCGTGGTGAGGAGTGGGGGGAGTTGGAGGAAAGTTGACTCCAGGCCTCACAGATGTTGGAGGTGGAAGGGGCAGGCCAGGAGACATGGAACTCCTTTACTCACTGGGGCTGCCACACCTGGGAGGTGGAGGGCTGGGCCTCCGGACCGAGGTCCCGCCACAGCAAGAAGAGTGTCTGGGTTCTCCCCAAACCTCCCCAGATGCAGCTCCTGGGACAGCCCCGCTTAGCCCCCTCCCATCCCAACACCACGGAACAGCAGAGCACACATCAGAGTTAGCTCCCGCTAACGCCAAGGGGCGACCCTTCCCGCCCCTACCCTGCCCCTCAGCCAGGGCGCAGCGCCTACGGTGCCCACACCTCACTTCATGCGCCCGCACCCGTGGCGACCCCCTCCCCAACGCACGGGCGGATGTGTGGAGCCACCCGCCCCCACCACATGCAGCGGCTGCTGTGCCCATGCCCCACGCCTAGCCCAGCTCCACGGCCGCACTTTATGAGCTCGCACCCGTGGCCGTCCCCATCTCCTGCGCACAGGTGCCCATGCCGCCTGCGCCTCCGAGGAGCCTGCCGGCCTGGCGCCCGTGGAGGTTCCTCCGGGAGTGCGCGCTCGCGGGCGTCTCCAGCTCCAACCCCTGCTCCTGGACGGGCTCTGTCATGGCCTCTCCACAGACACGAGAGGGCGCCCACGCTCCACCTGCGAATTCGGGACTCACAACCTAACCGGAAATAAACCCCGTGGGGATCCCCCTTCCCCCCAGCCCCAGGTCTACCTTGGCGGCCTCCCTGAGCCTACTCTGCCCCTCTCCCCAGCAGCTTCAAGCCCAGGACCTCGACCCTTCCTATACATGCCCACCGCACACACCCCCTTGGCCCCGGGAACAAGTGTCTCCAACTGACTCCACCCTGGCTGCAAGGACCGGTCCTCGCTGCCAGAGCAGACCCACCCATTCACCCCCCCCCCACCCCCAGTCCCGCTTCCCGCCTCTGCTTGGAGATTCCCCCCAAGGACAGGGAGCTCACCACATCTCGAGCCAGTCCCTTCCTTTCCGGGACGGCTCTCATCCTTAGGAAGTTATTTCTGACCTTAGGCTTAAGTCAGCCAGTCAATAAACATCTATTAAGCGCCTACTATGTGCCAGTGGCAGTGCAAAGCTCTGGGAATACAAAGAAAGGTAAAAGATAATCCCTACCCTCAGTCGGCCACGAAGACATGCAAACAGCTGTGTACAAGCTAGAGCCCTATGTCCCATTTCTGGAGGATTTGAGCTGAGTTTTGAAGGTAGCCACAAGGCAAAGGTGAGAAGGTAGAGGATTCCAGGAACAGGGGAAGCAGCTGGCCTGGAAGACCAGGAAAAGGCAGGAGTCAACGCTGTGTTTTGTCCCCTTCCTCCTTTCCCCCTTCCCTCCTGAACTGGGAGAGTGTGAGGACGAGTGTGTTCGCATCAGAATGAAGCAGGTGTGTGGGAGAGGATTGTGGGATTGTGCCCCCCTCGACTTCCTTGTAGCTACTTGGCATCTTCCTGCACAATTGCCCGAAGGGCATGGATTGTCTCACTTTTGCCTCTGTGGCTCCCAGGAAGGACAATGTGACCAAGTATTAGAGAGCCAGCCTGGAAACACGGAGGGAAAGCCTGGGATCAGGACCAGCCTCTGGCACCTGCTGGCTCACTTCACCACTCAATGCCCCAAGTATCTCTCTAAGACTCTCGGAGGTGCAGAGAATGTGCTGGCCTGCACTGGAAAAGGAGTCTCCTCTCCTGGCAGTTCCCTTCTAGCCATGACATCTCAGCTCTTGGCCCAGTCCCAGCTTCCATCCTAGCCCTGGACCTAGCCCAGGGGAGGGGCTCATAGACAGAGGAGATGGGTGTGTGGGACCAGCCTCCTCTTGCTCACCCTCGGTATCTACTAGGTTGTGTTTTTCTCATACCAGGCCCTCATCACCTCTGACCTCAGCTATTGTAAAAGTTTACTGCCTGTATCATTCCTCTCCAGGTTTTATCTATCATGCCATTTTCTACTTCCTTTTATGTTGACTACCCCCAAGAGAATGTAAGCTCTTTGAAGGCAAGGACTGTCTTTCTGCTGGTATTTTACTTAGCACAGTGCCTAGCACATAGTAAGCACCTAACAAATGTTTGTTCCCTGACTGATGGAAGGCTTTCTTCATCTCCCACCTCCACCCCCTCCCCACCTCCTTAATGCCACAGCTGCCCCTCACCAGCTCATCATCCATTACTTTGCATCGATTTTTAATCAGGCAATTCGGACTGTGGGATATAAGCTGGGGGGAGGGAAAGATGGGGAATATTTCTTTTTTTTCTCTGTACCCTCAGTGCTTGGCACAGAGTAGGTGTTTAATAAATGTTCCTTGGTTGGTTAATTAATCATTTATTTTAATCCTAAAGCTGAAGGAATCAATCAGAGGAAATCCCATCCTTCCTCTGATTCTCTGCTGTGGAGGTAGGAGACTGGTAGGAGACTGATGGGAACCTTTGAGAGAAGTGACTCCCCCCTCCTAGTGTGTGAAAGAGGACTGGAAATCTAGGCATCGGCTGGCCTGCACACTAGGTTTGGAGAGAACAGATTGCAAGAGGGTCAGAGGAAGGACAAAAAGGATTCTCTTTACTAGAGTTCCACAGGGGAGATCAGCCCAGGAGGGGATGGGAAAAACTCAGTTAGTAAAGTCTGAGGGCACAAAGGGAACAAATTCCAGTGAGGAGGAAAAAAGGGATTTGTCTGAAGAAACCAATGTGGATACACAGGGAGCTCCCCGACAGCCAGCTGAGGGAAGATGGCAGGTACTGGGGTCCAGACTCGACACAGCCCCATCAGAAGCAGCTCCCGGTGGGGTTGAATTGAAGCTGCTGGGGGAGGGGGGAAGTGAAGGACAACAAAAGGGGTGGGTTTGTTATTTTTTAACAAAGGCTCCGAGGAAGTCTGGCCCTGCTGCACGGAGGAGAGGGCACCGTGGTAACTGAAGGGTAATTAAGGGCAGGGCCGAGTTCCAAGCGCTCCGTTCCTTCTTGGCTTCTGGTTTCTTTGTCTGAAGACTCATCTTTGGACCACAAGGGAGAGGACGACGACGGATGCCCGGGATCGCTAAGGAGGCACAGAGAGAAAGCCGGGGCTGCGCGGGAGGAGGGTGAACACCTGGCCCAGGTGAACGACCCCGCCCCCCTCCACGAGTTCGGAGCAAGGGGCGCCCGGGAGGGCGAGCCCTCCTTCTCCATCACTGGGTGAGGTTCGAGGGAGCCTAGAGACCCGGCTTTGGATCCGATCGCGGGAGAGGTAGGAAGGGCCCCCCTGGCCTCGGAGGGAAAGACCTCTAGAGGCCAGGGGCTCGCCCGGAGAGGCTCCGCGGACGAACCGGGCGAGGGCTATCTCGGACCAGTCCGGCTTGGCGCCAGGGCGGCTGCTGGGAGACAGGTGAGGGCTCCCTCGGCCCGACCCCCAGTGCCCCCCAGGGTGGTCTGGAGAGGGGCTGAGGGGCACTGCGGGCGGAGGCGGCTCCAGCCCCGGCCCCCTCCCCCCCCAGGTCAGGCCCCGGTCGGCACGCCGCGGGGAGATCCCTGCCCGGGCCCAATGCGCACATGCTTGGAAACCCGCGCGCACCGACCCCGCTCCCAGGGCCTCTGCCGGCGAGAGGGGGCGCGCGCGCGGGGCGGCGGCGCGCACGGCGCTCGGGGGCGCGCACGGCCACCGGGCACGCGGGCTAGGAGGAGGCGGCGGCGGCGGCGGCGGCGGCAGCGGCAGCTCGGCTCGCGGGCTGGGCTGGGCTGGGCTGGGCTGGGCTGGGCTGGGCTGGAGCTCCGGAGGCCAGACCGGCGGGTGGACGGGTACGGGACCCGGGGCGCGGGGAGCCCGAGGAGGGCGGCCATGCGGAGCGGCGGCGCGGGGGCTCGCGGCAGCAGGAGCAGCAGCGCGGGTGAGTACGGCCCCCCGCGTCCGTGTCCCCCCGTGGGGGCCGTGGCCGTGGCCGCCGACGGGGGGAGGGGAGGGAAAGAGAAGCGGGGGAGGGGGGGCCCTGGCCGGTCACTCCCCCCCTACCCCCGCCGCCTGTGCGCGCCCCCGGGCTCCAGCCCAGCCCCCCCCCCCCCCCCCGCCGCCTCCCCGCGTGTCCGCGCCGGCCCTGTGGCCGTGGCCGTGGCCAAGGCCCGGGCGGGGCCCGCGGGAGGCAAAGTCCTCGAGGCGCTCCCCCCCCTTCGGGGCCCGTGCGGGGGGGGGCAAGGGGCGCCCGGCCCCTCGGGGGGGGGGGGGCGTCTCTAGGAGTCTGTCTCCGCTCCCCCTCCCCCCGGCGCCCGCGCGCAGGAATGCCGCCCCTCCGGCTTTTCCAGCCCGGCCGACCCCGCCCCCTGCCCCGCCCCGCCGGCCTGGGCTACCTGAGGGGGGAGGGCACGGGGGGGTGTGGGGGGCTGGGGCGAGCGGGGGGAGGGAGGAGGGGCTGGGGCAGGGGCGGCCCCTCCCCCGGCCAGCCACGGAGGCTTCTTGAGCTGGGGTGGGCCTGGGACCGTGGGCAGAGCCGCACTGGAGCAGGGCGATGAGCGGAGGGCCTGCACCTGGGACCCGCGGGGAGCAGAGGACGTAGAAAGGAGCGCACTTGGCCCTGGATGGGGGTGGGGGTGGGCGCTGAGGCTGAAGCGGTGGGGGGGCGGGGGCCTGACTAGCAGGAGGAAGGGGCTGGAGCCTGGTTTGGACGGAGGTGGGTAAGGAGATGGGCTCACGGAGGGCTGCCCTCCCCGTCGGGGCTGGCGCTGGGTGGGCTGGGCTCGTCCCCAGGGGCTGTGGGAAGGCTCAGCTTCCTTCCTGCTCCATTGGCCTCAGAATCACAGGAGTCAGTCTGAACAGTGCCCGAAGTCACAGCCTTCCCAGGGAGGCTCGGGGCAAGCTGGCCTGTGCCTGAGCAGTAGACCCTCCAGACTGGGCCTTTACAGGAAGCCCTCGAGGGGTGGGGAGCTCACTACCAGCTGCGGCAGCCCCATCTACTTCGAGATCTCCCTTTGCAACCCTCCTGTCCCCGCTGTGGCCCTTGGTTCTGCCGTCTGGGGACCAGGAAGAACAAGTGTCCACCCTGTTCCACTTGAGAACCTTACTTGAAAGGCCTGGAGACAAGGTCTGCTGCAGGCTCTGAGCCTTCACGTCTCAGAGCCCTTCACCCTTCTTGACACTCTCCACCTTCTCAGGGTCCTTAGTGAACCAGGTTCCTGCAGCCTCAGCCTGGGGCCAAGGGCATTGCTCAAGTAGCCAGAGAACACAGGTATTTCTGGAGCTGTTGATTCTGAATGTTTGTCTCTGTTCTGAGAACCAGCCCCACTCCCCTAGGCTTGCAGTGGAGGGAAGGGTCAGTTTTATTCAGCCACACGTACCCCCCAGGACTAAATGGATACATGCTGCTGCTTCTTGTTGGCTCACAGTGGCCACTGAGACCCCCAAATCTTTTTCAGGTGAGCTGCTCTCCCTAGCCATGCGTCATCCCCTGCTTACTGCTTTTTTGTGTTTTGGTTTTTTTTTTAATCCAGGTACAGGACTTTCCATTTTTAGTAGATGTATACTCTTGTTGGTGTGGCCACAACATCTCCCAAAGCTGTTGCACACATTTTCATTCGGTGCTACTCTTGTCCATGTCTTTCTATCAGCCCCACAGGAGAAGCTGCCCCAGGACTGTGTGGAGTGGTGGGCAGAGGGCAGGTCCTGGAGTCACCAAGACCTGGCTGAAAATCCTTTCTCAGGCATTTTCTAGCTGTATGACCCTGGGCAAGTCACCTCCCCTCTCTGGGTCTCAGTGACCTCATCTGGCCTTGGTGGGCTCCAACGTCCTTTCTAATTCAGAATCTATGCTCCAATCCTTTTTTCTTGCCTCCGTTCCTGGTCCCTTTGGGGATCCTACTTTTTGATCCTAGAAGGTTACCCATCCCTCCTGTTGCTGTTTCAGTTGGGATACCTTCTGTGTCTCCATACGAGTCAGTATCAAACAGGAGTGGTCCCCAGACTGTCCCAGGAAGGCTCTGCTGGAGCTGTCCATCCATCTGACCAGCCCCTCCCCCCATGGGTACCATCATCTGCCTGTGTCTCTAAGCCTCATTTCTGCCATTTGCTCAACTTTCCGTAGCATCCTCCTGAGATTCCAGTGCGGTGACCTCATAAAAGGAAATAGTGTGGGTCAGTGGAGCCCGTGCTGGCTCTCGATGTCCCACCATGTCTCTTCTGTGCTCATGAAATTCCCATGGCTCCCTAGTACTGCCCCTAGGCTTGGCATTCTGAGCCAGGGCTCCTACCTCCCTTTCCCAAGTAATTTCTGGTGACTTCCTTGCCTCTGGCTGTGTCCTCCCAGCTCTCTCCCTCCTCCTTTCTGCCTGGTACTAGGGAAAGAGGCTGAATTGGACTCCGCCTCTGACACTTACTGGCTGCTGGGTGACCCTGGGCAAGTCAGCCCTGCTGAGTCTCACTGGCCTCATTTGCAAAATGAGACTAAAATCCCTGGCAGTCCTGCTTCCTCGGAGGCTCAGCAAGCCTTTCAGTGACAGTGGGGTTGACTGTGACAGCTCTGTCACCTTTAAGGGAAGCTTTCTCACCCTTTGGGGCCCAGCTCAGGCCCTCTCCTCCTTGAAGTCCCCTGGGCTTCAGCTGCTTCTGTCCTCTCCTCTATGCCAGCTTTCTTGTGGACCCCCCATTGGAGTCAAAGCTCCTTGAGCGCTGGGCAGGGATTGGGCTGCAGAGCACAGGGTCTGGAAGCCAGTTGGGGGCTATGCCCACATACTGCTGTGTGGGGTCTGAGGAGGGCAAGTGTGGCTGCCCAGTGGCCAGCCAGCCAGGAGGTGGGGTGGCTGTACCAGTGTGTCGGCCTGGCGACTAAGGGCTGGCCTGGACTGGGACTGAACCTGGGCTCTGGAGGGTGAGATGGGGAAGAACTGGGGGGGAGTCGAGTCATGGAGGCAGGAAGGAGCCCTGTGTGTGCTAGAGATGCCGGATGGACATTGGCCTGGCTGGGACGAGTGTTGGGTGTGTTGGGGAGGGAGGATCTTGGGTGCCTGTCTAAAACTTGATCCTGGGTCAGCTGGAGCCGTGAGCAGTGACTTTCAGGGAAGGTGAATTCGGCCTTTCTGAGGGAGAGGTCAGGAGGAGGAAGTGTACTCCTTGAGCTGTGAGAAAGCTCTGTCCTCAGTCAATGAGGACTAGCCTCTGTTCAGTCTTGTTTGTAAATTGTAGGCAGTGGGCCTGGGGCTGCTCAGGTGCTGACGTCCAGCAGAGGAGGACAGCTGCCCATGGAAAGAGCTTATGAGGGATGTGGGGGCAGTGGCCCCCCAAGGCTGTCACTTTGTCCAGTCTGCCTCTGGTCATCCATCGTGACGCTGTGCTGAGGGGTGAGGTGGGCATGCCTCAGCCTTGGGCAGAGCTGCCCAGATGGGCAGTTACACCCCTGCAGAGTGTGAGCTTGGATCACTTTTTGGCTGGCCAGCATTCCCTCCTCTGTGGTCCCTCTTGGTGCCCAGCGAGGGGAGCCACTGCCAGATTTGGATCTTCCTCCGCCCCCAGGATGGGAGGAGTATGGGCTTTGTGGCCTGGCATTCAGGGACCCCACATTCCAGGTCCTCCTCCTCCCAATCCTGAGCCACCCCAGCTCTCTAATTTGGGGTGGGAACCTCGGGCTTCCTTGATTACCAGAGGCCTGACTCCCCTGCCCCTTTCTGTCTCTGCAGGAATGAGCCAAGGACCCCCAGCTCCAGCCCAGGCCACTCAGGCATCTGTGCAGTAGAGGTGACAGATTGAGGACTCAGGTGAGTACAGCCAGCTGGGCTCTGGGCCCTGGCGGTGACAGATGCCCCTGTGGCATGGGGGGCTGTGGGGCCCAGGCCCCAGGCAGGGCGTGTGTCTGCTCTCTCCAGGTAGGGGGTAGCTAGTGAAGTTTATTGAGTAGGAGAGTGATGTGCGCTCTGGGCAGTCGCTCTCGTGGCTGAGTGGAAGGAGCCGCTGGTGGACCGTAGTCCAGGGAGAGGTGATGAGGGTCTGCGCCCACTTGGTGGCCGTACAAGTGGAAAGAAGAGGCTGTTGTCAGGCAGCGAGCATTTATTAAGTGCTTGCTGTGTGCTCGGCTTTGTGTTGAGTGCTAGGGAAGCAAACATAAGCAGAAAGACAACTCTTACCCTCAAAGAGCTTACGTTCTAATGGTGGAAAGCAATAGTGGGTGTCCTGAAAATGAGGGAGGGACAGAGGAGGGGCTAGGGCTTGGGGCCTAATTCTGAGCAGGAGAGAAGGGGGTATGGACACGTGCAGGGCCGTGTCGTGGGCACAGGATGGTGGAGGGAGCAGGGAGGAGGCACAGGTGACTGGGAGGTCTGAGGGTATCAGATGAGGAAACTGAGGTCTAGAGAGGGACAATAATCTACCACAGGTCACGTGGGGAAGGGAAGAGGAAAAGAATGAGTGTTTCTGTGGCATCTGCCATGTGCCAGGCACTGGGCCAAGCCTTTTACAAATATCATTTGGTCCTCACAACAACCCCAGGAGGAAGGTGTTATTATAATTTCCATTTTACAGTTGAGAAAACTGAGGCAAACAGAGGTTCACTGATTTGCCCAGGGTCACATAGCTAGTAAGTGTTTGAGGCTAGATTTGAGCTCAGGTCTTCCTAACTCCAGCACCAGTGCTCTTTCCACTGTGTGGTACAGCTGAGGTGAGAGTGGCAAAGCTGCATTTCGAACCCAGGCCTCTCGCTGCAGACTTGGTGCTCTTGCAGAGGGGCAGGAGACCTCTAGTGAGGGGCACATGTGTAGAAGCTCAGGGTTGGAAGGGACCCCAGAGGCAGAGTTCAAACCCCACCTACCTAAGAAATCCCTTCGTCAGTACCCCAGCCTCGGCTTGACGACCTCCAGACTCGCCCCCTCCCAAAGCAGCCCAGGGTATTTTGGGCCCGCCGTCGTTTTCCTGACTTCAGTCTCTGTTTGTCTCATGAGGGCTCTGCCCACCACTGGGGCCAGTCGGAAAAGGACACCGCCTTCTTTCCTCAGGTCTTCCACAACACCAACCCATCACCTTCTCAGCCGAGCCCCTCGCTGCCTCCCCTGCTGGGAAGGCTCTTCACCATGCACCCCCTTTTTTCTCCATTTAACTCCTGCCCCTGGAATCGTCCCCTCCTTTGCTCTCATCTTGGAGGAGGATCTGGAGGCAGCCTCTGCCCCGAGCTCTTGACCCTGTCCTGCCGCAGTCACCCCCTCTGCCTAGTCCCTCCTTCCCTGGTGCCTTCCACCAACCCAGGTCTTCTCCCCAGGCTGGACAAACCCTTCCTGGACCTTGCCGTCCCCCTAGCTGCTGGCCGGCCGTCTTTGGCCGCCACGCTCAGGAAAGCCGTGTCTGTGCCCCTTCATCACGTCTCCAGCCCTCCACGTGGGACTGCTGAGCCTGGCTCTCATCTCTCCTCCCTGGGCTGCCAGCTGTCTCTTGCTTTTTCAAGTTTTACTGCTACCTTTTGTCTGGGTGGCTCATAGACCGAGGGCTGTCCCTGCCTTAAACCCAAGCCTTCCCTAGTGCTGAAGACTTATTTTAAAAGCTTGTGTTTTTTGTTGTTTTACTTTTTTTTGTTTTCCTTGTTTTTTTGGTTTTTTTGGTTTTTTTGGGTTTTTTTTTTTGTGAGGCAGTTGGAGTTAAGTGACTTGCCCAGGGTCACACAGGTAGTACGTGTCAAGCGTCTGCGTTCAGATTTGAACTCAGGTCCTCCTGACTCCAAGACTGGAGCTCTATCCATTGCACCACCTAGCTGCCCCAAATGCATTTGTTTTTGACGGCAGTGTATGCAACTCGGCACCCCCCCCCCCAAAGTCTCCCATGTCTCTAGGAAGAAGCCTGGTTGTTCTAATTACACACCCCAATCATCAGTTAAGTGGGTGGCCTTTTGTCTCTCCTCCTGCCTCTAACAACCCCTCCTGCCCTGTCCCTCCATCTTGCTCTCTTGGGCTCCCTCCTCCCCAAGTGACCACTCCTTCTCAGTTGCCTTCACTGGTTCATCGGATGGGGCCCTACCCCAGGTGTCCGCAAGGCCTGTCCCTGGGCCGTCTCCTCTTCCTCCTCCACACTCCTCCCTCCTCAGCTTGGCCACGTTCTGCTGACATCCCTCTGCAGAGAAGATTCCCAGGGCTGCCCATCTTAGCAGTCCGAGAGTTTTCAGGTCAGAAGGCATATGGCAGCATTGAGGCCAGCCCCAGGCTGGAAGCCTCTCTCCAATCTCCTCAACCAGTGGACATCTGGCCTCTATTTGGGGACCTCCAAGGACAGGGAGCTCATCACCTCCCAGGGCAGCCCAGACCACACTGGGACAGTCACAGGGAGGGGAGTTTTCCTGACATCCAGTTGAATTGGCCTTTCTGGGACTTGTGACTTCCCCCATTGCTCCTGGTTCTGCCTTTGAGGGGCCGAGCAGAACAAAGCTAATCCCTCCTCCCCTGCGTTCACTTGAAGGCAGCTGTTGAGCCTTCCTGAGCCTTCTCTGCTCCCAGCTAAAGGAGCCCAGCTCCTTCAGCTGATACTTGGATGTCATGCCAGGCCAGGCCTCCCCCTCTGAGTGCTGTCCAGCTCACCAAGGCCCTGCCTAAATGGTGGTTCCCAGGCCTGAGCACTGCCCTGCAGGTGAGGCCTGTCCGGGGCAGAGGACAGAGGCACGCTCCCCTCTCCTGGAAGCCAGCTGAACCACCCAGATTCCTGTCTGCTTGCTTGACCGCCCCATCCCACTGATGACTCCCTGAGCTTGTGGTCCTCTCAGACCCCAGAGAGTTTTCAGGCGCACCGTTGCTTAGCTAGACCTCTCCCCCATTCCCCATAGTTGTGCATTGATTCCTTGAACTCAGGCCTTAGACTTTACACTTGACCTTATTAAGTTCTATCTCCTTCGATCCAGTCCAGCATTCCAGCTGGCACTATATCAGCTCCCCAGCTTTGTGCTGGCTGTGAATTGGTGAGCCTGCCGTCGACACCATTATCCAAGTCACTGAGAAGAGTGTGAAACAGTAGAGGCCCCACCCAGGTCCTTGGGGTCCTCCGCCACAGACCTCTCCCCAAGCTGACGTCGTTCAGTTCACGGGCCGTTCTTTAGAGAGGGGCCGTTCGACTTGGTCCCGATCCACCTGATTTTGCTGTTGTGGCTGACTTCGTGGGTCACTGAAATCGAGACAGACAGTACCCCCAGCCTTCCCTCCCCTCCTGACCCAGGGATCCTCGGTCATAGAGGGAAATGAGGCTGGTCCAGCATGACCTGTTGGATGAAGCCTGGCAGATTCTCTGTGGTCACCGCTTCCTTTTCTAGACAGTCATTGGCCAGCCCTTTATGCTCTGTTCTGGAATTTTCCCAGGAATCAGAGTTGAGAACACTGACGTCTTATTTTCAGATTCAGGTCAGCTTTTGCTCTTCTCCAGGCCTATGGGGCCTCTCTTGTCCTCATCAGCCCTGATCTTTCTGAGGTCCCCGACAGAGGTCCAGTGGGATATCCCATTAGCCAGTTGTTGTTTTTTTCTGGGTCCAGAGATATAGCTTGAATTCCTAGGGTCCTGCTTGGGGATTTGGGCTCAGATCAAAAGAAAAGATTGCTTCTGCATATCTGGGGGGATGGGGGGATGGGTTCTTGGCTTTGACTGGGGCTGCCTCAGATAGAGCCCCGGCTGATGGAAACAGCTGAGGAAGTAGATGCTTCTCCCTATCCCCGTACACCCTGGCTGGGCAACCTGGGGTCGGCTTCTGAGCCCCAGGCTCCCTCAAGCCCAGATCCAGGCTCACACTGGTGCTCTTTTAGCCTTGTCCATGTGGCAGATTAGAAACGTACCATTCTGCTGAGTTCTGCTGCCCCCAGATCAGAACCCTGACCCTGAATAAAGGAGTGAGTGGTGGGGGATTGAGTGCAGCCCCTAGGCAGTGTGCATGTAGGGGGCAGGGCAGTAGGCCTGGGCTGTGCTCAGGGACTTGCCTGCAGGGAGCTTCCCGTCAGACCTGAAAAAATCAAATGAGTAGGAGATATGCAATGTGGCATAGGGCTGCTTTGGGGCAGGGTGGCTGGAAAGGGATCACAAGCCTGTGGTTTAGGGTCTGGAAGTCTGGGTCTGGCGGTGGGAGAGTGAGGAGTAGGGTGAGGGCCACACTCACCAGTGCCAAAGGCTGCCCTGATGATGCTGGAGGATGTGAAGTCCAAGACTGGATCTTAGCTGATCAGGAATTCCAGCCCCATCCAGTTGCTCCTTGAAGATGTCAGTGAGGGGAGGAGGAGGAGAAAGGAAGGGCTGGTGGGTGGGAGCCCGAGGAAAGTAGAGTGCAGGGGGTCGCGGGAATAGCTCATGTTCTAGGGAGAGTGGGGGGGACGCAGATGAGAAGGGAAGCGCCTGAGCAGGGGAGAGAAGAGGGAGCCAGCGCCTGGGGGCCGTGGGGTGGGCTGGCCCCATCGGGAGGAGCGGGCTGTGGTGCTGAGACAGATGTGGGAGGAGGGACTGAAGGGAAATGGAAAGGAGGGTTTCGTGGGTGTCTCCAGGGCCATGATCTGGGTCCCTCCCCTACTCGATGACCTCACCGGCTCCCAGGGGTTTAACTGTCATCTCCAAACAGTTGATTCTCTGATCTGTTTATCCGGCCCTAACCTCTCTCTTGACCTCCAGTCCCAAATCATAGCTGCCTTTTGGATATCTGGAATTGGACGTTTCATAAACATCTGAATCTTAACATGTCCAAAGTTGACCTCGTCATCCCTTTCCCCAGTCCCCTCGTATCTCAACTTCCCTGTCATTTGGAGGGCTCCGCCACCCTCTC